TAAAACTCTTTCTCCCCCCCCCCCCCCCCTCTCTCTCTCTCTCTCTCTCTCTCTCTCTCTCTCTCTCTCTCTCTCTCCGAAACACACTCATTTCTTTTGTAATTTTCATGTATATAATGTTTATTTAATATATTTAATATTATTATTTATTTAATATATTATTATTTTAAATATTATTACATGTTTTCAGAAATTAAACCACCAAACACAATTTCAGTTTTTTTAAAACTGAAAATAATTTCAGAATAAAACTATCAAACGTATTTTCAGAAATGATTCCAAAATGAAAATAAAAATGTTTTTATTTTCATTTTCGTACAAAAAATAAAAACGTTTTGAAACCAATTCCAAACGCACACGTCATTTTCTGTTTTCAGTTCATAGTCTTCGTTTCAGTTCATCGTCGTTTTCCTAATATTAACATGTTTTAGTTTTTACAATTCAACCTCTTTTCATAAATTAACATCGTTTTAAAGTAATTTCGTTATGAGACTGTCTCTTTTGGTGTTGTCGATGGGAATGGGATGCTGTCATTTGTCATTAATTTTGTCCTTTATTTACGCATCATTATATTTATACTCTGAATTTGGTTGTCGTTTCTTGATGATGATGTCGTTTGAGATACTACATGTTATCTTTTTATGCATATGAGTTATTTGGCTGAAATAGATGAGGTTATTACATTAAATTTACAGACTATTTGGCTTGATCTTTTAGTTGGATCGGGTTTAAGGTAATCCTTTCCCTTGTTATTTTTGACTATGGACTTTGGAGACTTTGTGAGACTCAATCATCAATGTACGGTCATGTACTATAATTCTTTAGTCCAAAAAAAAGGGGGGTTGTCAGAATTTAATCAAGAAGCTGTAATCTCAGCATATGTTGAATAATGTATGAATCATAGGAGTTGACAATGAAAGTATCACAGAACAAAAAATATTTTTTTTCATCAAGATTCATACTCAATTTGGAGCTGCCAAGCTCAAACTAAGGGCACCCAATTGCTTTAATTCAATCAACCTCCCTTTGCCCCCACTTCCTTGGAAATAGTGTTATCTCATTGTTGTAAAGCAAGAGTTTTAAGTTGCTTCCCTAGAAAACTTCATGAAAAGGTTTTCTTGAGCAGTTTTGACATCGACATTATGCTAAATGGCTATATCAAAACTCTGCACGGGCTGACTCCCTCCAGTCCCAAATAAAAAAGACGTGTAAGAAGGGTACAACAACAACAACAACAAGCCTTAATCCCAATTTAATTGGGGTAGGCTACGTGTAAGAAGGGTAAAAAATAAAATAAAAAATAAAAAATAAAAAAAAGTATTTGGATACAACAAAATCAGAATCCTACAAAGGCTGCATCTCCATGTTGGTTTGCTCGCCATGTTTGGATGGTGCAGAACGCTCGGGGTCCTTGTTCTCGTCGGAGTGCATCTCTTGCACCGGTGGAGGGTTAACAATGGTCATCTGTGAAGCAGCACTATCAGATAGATGGTTCTTCATTTCCCTGTGCTCTTGACACAAGGCACACCAGTGCATACAGCAATGGACCAGGCAAGGGTCACAAGGCGAATTCTACAAAGTATTGACACAATGAGTTTTAGCATCTATTAGAAACCTGCAGCACATAATCTTATAATCTAACATGTTAAGCAGGAACAAGTTTTACCTTAAGATGGTATTTCTTCTGCAATGATTGTCGAAACAGACCTGTGTAGATGCCGCACATCCACCACGCGAATACCAGGCTCTCGCAGATGAGAAATGTCGTATGGGGATCTATTCCATTTATGAGGGCTGCTGCTGCTGCAACTGCCATCCCGCCTTCAACACAAACGGCATGACAAACACACGCATTTGTCCAAGGAATGTCTTCTCTCAATGTCTCGACATTGCGCCCAAATAAAACGCACGGACAAAAGAGTCCGGTCCAACCTGCAACACCAGCACATGATTTCATTAGAGGACCTATGCCAATGACCAGGGCAAAGAGTTACACAGAAGATTTCAAAGGTCTAACCCTCAATTAAGAATTATTGCGCTTTTGAAAAAAGTGCTTCTTTTACTTATAGAAAAGTAGAGATAGAGATAGGAGTTGAAAATTAAAATTTCCACTTCTCAAAATAACTATGAAACTACATTGTTGTCTTCTTAAAGTACATCTCTGAACTGTACTACTTGAATTGTGTATATGCAAAAGACTTTTATGATCTCCAAAAGCAATACCAAACTAGTCCTAGCTATTCTCGGGTTAAAGCAATTGTCAATTTTATATTCTTCATGATAAAACCAATTGAACATATGCAAACTATTATAGTAAATATAAGATTTATGTATGGTCTTCCTTATTTGGTTAGTAAAAGCATTAGAATTCATATAATTACAGTAATCTAGCATAATGAGTGAAGCATTTGGTTTATAGAGAATAGTATCCATACAATTTTAAGTGAATAAGTAATAACAAAGATGGTAAAGAAGAGAAAATGATGAAAGCTAATGAGACGCTCACAGCTCTGGGTATCCTCCGCACAGCCAAAAATCCCAGTCGTCCAATCTTCATCAGCAGGAGGTTCATAGCTTTCAGGTAAAGGCTGCCCACATTCTGTACATTTATGAACCACCAACTGCCCACCCGCACAAAAAATAAATAAATAAAATGTAAAAAGAACCAATATAAATTCTTCATGATCAAATCCTATAAGAAAAAAAAAAGGAGATTTTGTAGCAGGGTACCAACAACATGTCCAACCAATACTACGCAATTCTAAAGGATCCGTTCTGTTTTACGGGTTCGAATTGAAAATTTTAATTGAATTTAAATTTTTATGAAAAAAAGTTATAAAAAAAACATTTAAATTGTGATTTAAATTGTTAAATGAACAGGGCTAAACATATTTTTAAGCTAAAAGACAAAAGTATACGGGTCAATTTAATAATACAAATTTGTTTTTTTTTTTCAGCGTGATTCGATAAAAAAAAAAAAAGGTAACATGAGAATTCTAACCAAAACACAAACGAATTCTCGAAGCCAAAAATAAAAAATAACAAAAAGACATAAAAAGAAAAGAAGAAGAAAAAGGAACAAACCTGAGGGACTTCAATGGGCTGGTTGAGCTCTCCCGGAGTGATATCCTCCAATGGCGCTTGATCCTTCGTCAGCTTCACGTATCTCGATTGCGCATTTCCCTCCGCCATCTGATCCAATCAATCCACAATCATACAAATATATATATATATATATATATCAAATTCCTTATATACGTAATTGACGCAAATATACAAACAAATAAAGGATGAATCATAGAACCAGAACGAAATTGAGGTTGAAGAAATGAGAAGAAAAAAGTTTTAGGAAAAAACCTGGTCGAGATCTGGAAGACGGTAGAGATGAGAATCGAAAGTATTATATTGGAGAATTTATGTATGTGTCTGGTTATAATATACGCATAAAGGATTGCAAAACTATATTGGACTGCAAAAGGCCATTTTCTTCTAGAAATTATTGGACATTTGCGTTGTTGTTAACCAATCAAGATTCAGGATTTACTCCCCCTCTCTCTGTCTCAGACGACAGCGACGACTTCTTGGCGTGTTCATAGACATGGCACGTATATTTTATTTTATTTTATTTTTTTTCCTGCCGATGCGGATTTTGATTTTTCGTATTTTCAATGTTACATATATTAACAATATTTTCAGTCACGTCAATAATTAGTTTTAGCACCATAGAAATTGGGTGTGTTTAGAGTAAAAATCTGTATAATAATTTAGATTATAATTCGTGATTTGTTATAGTATTTTTTTCATTAAAAATACACATAAATTGATAATAATTTTAAATTTATGAACCAAACGTAATTTATCTTTTAAGATAATTTTAATTTGAACTCATGTGTTATTACGAAATCGTCTCTGTATTTTTAATCTACCTCTTAAAATATCGATTTTTGGTGTCTGAAGTCCTTTTTAGGATATGAAATATTAATTTTACTTTTTTAATAATTTTTTGATTTGATTAACTTGAATTTAGTAATTACTCTTTTAAGATTTTTAAAAGCAAAAAGATTATTTGGTTACAATTAAAACTTCCAATAAAAAGTAAATTCATGCCAACTAAATCAAAAATTATTATAAACGGTGAATTTTAATATTTTATATCTCAAAAACTACCTCAAACTATCAAAAATTAATATTTTAAAAAATAGAAGTACTAATTTAAGAGTATAAAATAGGAGACACTAAAAGATAATTGAAGGTACTAAATTAAAATTATTCTTTATATATATATATATTAAAGGAGTGATAGTTTGGTTGCTAAAATTTTACATTTTCATCCTAATCTTAAAAATAATAATAAACTTTTGAGCCCTAAAAAAATATATTTTTGAGTGTCAAATAGAGATAAATACGTGTTCACCACGCAGCAATATGAAATTATATAAATATATATAATCATAATATGGGTAAAATGTTTTAAATTTCAAAGGTATTCAAGGCATCAAAGATAATATTTTTGTATCTTACGTCGACATTTTAAAAAACTTTCAAGTTATTATAATTTGAGCAAATGTTGTGTCTAATTTAGGGAGTAATGGATTAAAAAAAGTTTAGAGATGAAAATTGACATAGGATGTGTTCATTTACACAATTAAAGTCGTGATTTGGGTCGTGTATATGAGAGAACAATATTATAATAACAAATTTAAATTTAAATTTATGTGAGAGAATATATTGTAGCAATATGATTTGAGTTATGAAATAAACAAGACCATAACGTTACTGGTTCCGATTCTAATAACACTAAAAAGCCCATTTATTTTTAAATTGTAGGCTTTGCTTACAATATAATATAGGAGTCCGTTTAATTCGTTAATTTGAATTTTTAATTTGAGTTGAGATGTGACTTTATGTGAGAGTTTTTTACTGTAGTAAAAAAGTTTAATGTGATTGTTTCTGAAAGCTTTTTACTATAACAAAACTTGAATCGGTAAAATGAACGGGACCTAAGTTTATTTAGCAATAACTTCTTAGGATATGAATAGTAATTTAGTATATATATTTTTAAAATTTGAAAAACATAGTGCATGTGTTAGATTTAGAAAAAGAAATACATCTACTTGCACATCATGTTAGCATCTGTATTGCAAGCGTGTTGCATTATTTCAGTCAATCTTTTTCACGGGGCACCAATCGTCTCAAGTCTCCACCTTTTATTCATATTGGTGTTGTTGTGTGCCTTTTCTAAGATTTCGAAGGGGGAAAAAAAAATACTCGATCCACTCTTTTGCATTTAATATATTAAAAAATAAAAAAATACACTTATCGTAAGAACAGCTTCAAAAAAATATATCATGTGATGTGCAAGTAGATGTAAATCAAATCTGAAAATAATAATAATAATGATAAGATATTCCAAGCAACATTATAATAAGGGTCGTTACTTTTCCAATCAACGTCAAGAAATCAACGACATGTCGATCTTCATGTAAACGACAACAAATTCTTAAACAAACTACATGCCGTATTTGTTTAACAATGTCCAAAAAAAAAAAACAAATAATAATCTCTCTCTAACAGGACCTTAGTGGTGGAGTTAATTTTAACCGCTAAATTTTAATAATCAGAACAGATAGGCCCCGTTCACTTCGCTGATTCGAGTTTAGAATTTGAGTTTTTTTGAAGTAAAAAGTTCTCACAAACAATCACATTTAACTTTTTTGCTACAGTAAAAAGCTCTCATATAAAGTCACATCTCAACTCGAATTCTAAACTCGAATCAGCGAAGTGAACGGAAAGACGTAAAATAAATAGATTTTTATATAAAATTTAATGATTAAAAATAAAATATTTTTATTTTTTGATAGGGCATAAACAAATAAAAAAAATTTCTCTAGTATAATAAAAAAATAAATTACAGATAATTATTTATTTTTTAACTGTTAAATTTATATTAAAAATTATTTATACCGTATATTTTTTAATCTAATTTAATTTTAATTAAATATAATGGTCTGAAGTTAAAATTATCAATACGAGGCCTACGAAAAAAATCTTCAAATAAAAACATCCAAAAGTGCAACCTTTCCAAACAAACAAACAAAAATAAACAGCTCCAAACAAATAAACAAATAAAAAAGTTAGCCTAACACTTCTGCTTCTGCTAGAAGTTTTGGTCTTGTACTGGTATTCTATTTTCTTTAGCTCAAATAGTTACTTTAGAAGATAACCCAGAAAATACTGTTAGACACAGAGAGAGAGAGAGAGATGAGTAAAGGAAGCAAGCACATTGACACGGCAAGCACTCGGGTCGAATCATCCTATTCTATTCTCCCGACTCCTCCTCCTACGTCATCTAATCTCAATATTCCCGTTTCAGCCACACACAGAAATGAAGACTTCGGAGCAACTGGGTTTTTTTCTCCCCAAATTTTCGGGCATGTCCCATCCGTATCTGAAGTCGAATTTGCAATTTCTGTGCTGAGAAAGTGAGTAATTTCAATAAAGGCCTGTACTTATCTCTTTAATTTCGTCATCTATGTATGATTTTTTTTTTTTTTTTTTGCTCAATGTAAATATTACAGATTGTAAGAGTCCAGATAATATTTTGTTTGCTTGGCTAGGAATGAATTTATCTATTTTTTAAAGAACAAACGTTAAATTTGAGTTTTTTTTTTTTCTGCATCTAAATTTGCATTTCTAATGTTATCTATGTACAAGTTTTAAATCTATCTCTTTTGGGGAACTTGTTATTGAGAAACTACGGAAACTGATTTATCAATATTTGTTGTGTTTCCATCTTTAGCTGTAAAACTGAATATATTCTTCGGTTTAAATTTCCACATTGACCACAGTTTTATACAAGCTGTATCTTCACACGGGCCAGGGTCAAATTGGCTTGTTCAGATGTTGGATGGTCCTACCTCAAGATTCTTGATGTCCGCTGGACTTAGAAAACTCTACGATGCTTTCCAATTGCTGGAAATGGATCCTTCTGTTAAGGTGACTTTTTTTTTTTTTTTTTGAAAACAACAACAACAATAATAAGATGATGATGATGATGATATTATTACATCATTAAACTGTTCTTTCTATAAAAACACTAGCTTGCTAAGGAGTAAGCACTTATAGCATTAATAGCAGCTTGCATCTCAGCTTCAATAGCACATATATCACTCAAAACACACTAAAATGTCCTTAAACAGCAGATATCCGGAGAGAGCTTACTAGAAAGTGAACTTTTCTTCCTAACCAAAACAACAGAACTTGGGATGCCATTAAAAATTTTTTCGGTCAGATCTTATCTACTTATCCCCTTTTACCCCGAGTGGTCTTAGGGACACCGATTCTCATCTCAATTTTTTTGTACCAACTTACATGACACCGAGTTATCATCGTTTGACTGATAAATGTATTGAGCACCTACCAAGTAATGAACGACGACTCACTAAAAAGTTGATATTAGAGTTAGTATCATTGGCATTGTTCTTTTTCTCTTAAATGTTTCTCAAGAAATCTGATGAAATGCAGAGATTGGTGATTGCACTAGCAACTGATAAAGCCTTGTGGAATGCTATTATGAAGAATGAGTTAGTACAGAATCTTAGAGAGTCTCTATACTCAGGTATAGATTCTGTCACCACAGTCTCGACTTTTTATTGTCCAACAACAGGCCTGAATGCGACTTTATTTTACTTGTATTGGATTCTATTACATGAATACATTTTCATCTCTACTTGTTGTAGCTCAAAGTGGAAGCCGACTTAGGACAATTGAAGAGCCGGAACTGGTTGCAACCATTTTGCAGTGGATATGGGAAATGTCAAAGGCAAAGGTTGTGGAACTCATTGACAAGTTCCAAGCTCTCGTGAATGAGATGTTTCAACGTAGAGAGAATGAGAAAGGAAACACTGTACTAAGGAATGATGACCAAGTGGAAGACAAAGTTAGATCTTCTTTGCTTCTCACCATCATTATCCTTTTGATCGTGGTGATTGCCCGAGCTAATGGGGTTTGATTATCAGATAACCGAGCGAAACATGTCAAGTACCTCTATTTTTTTTTTCTTTGTGTGGTTTGATCATACTCAATATATTGTTGTATGAATCTACATCTTGAATTGTTGGTAGTTCAGTGATATGTAATTAATCATATGAACTATGTAGCTTGTTGTTGCTTTATTTTCTGATTATTGTGGCCAAACTGAAAAGATAAATCTTGCTATTAATGACCAAAAAGAATCAGGTTCTTAACTCGTCCATGATTTAGCAAAAAGTTCTATCATAAAACTTCCATTTGCGCCTTTCTCTTAGAATACTGCCATTGATGGATAAGAAAGTGCTTTATGTCCTTAACGGCCAGAGGGGATATTTTTCTACATTTCCCTTAAATTCAAACATGTAGTGTTTATAATAAAGAAGCTATACAAGTTCTTGGTTTTTGCTTGCTTAATTTGACCACTTTGGCCTAAGCTTTTATTTTTTGTTTTTTTTGCTTTTAATTATGTGTCTCTTGAGTTTGAAGATATTTATTTGATTTAAATATAAATTTGGCTAATATTAAGTAGAAGTGATATTTTGAATTTATCAATACTGTTTTTTTTTTTTTTTTTTTTTTTTTTTTCCTAAACTTCACTTTTTTTTTTTTTTTTTTTATCCTCAACTTCACACCTTCTCTGCTTCCTAGCTCAAATCGTTCTCCGATTCTGCAACATTTGCGGTGATGCTTCTTCTATATATGTGTGTGTGTGTGTGTGTGTGTGTGTATATATTGGGTATGGCGGTGGTGCATGAAACGAGGGCAGTATAAATACAAACTCGGTCTATGGAGAACGCCAACAGAAATAACGAAACGACAAGAACAGTAACGACGTGATCAGAAGAACGACAACATCATGGAAAAAACTTAAAAGAGGCAAACGACATCGTAATCGCAACTTCTTAAAAAGCGACATTATCATTTCACCCTTAAGAAGCAAACGGATAAAAACTTACGTTGCGATTAATATCGACAACATACTCAAGAAACGACAATAAATTAAGAAAAGATAAGTATTCGGAAACTATAAATGAGGGACGGCGATATGCATCAAAAGATAACTTTGTAAATCAATGAATTTTAAGGTAATCTGGACAGAAAGCGGTAAAATTTTTGGAACGGACATCCCAAAAGATGACAATGAGTCAAAAACGCGAATATAATGAAAACGACAACGGCTTTGAAGGGACAATATGTTTCAAACGACACTATTTCAGAAAACGACAACACTTTAGAAAATGACATTATATGGAAAACGACAATAGATTTGAAACGACAACCAAATAAATGAGAGAAAACGTCGACAACAATGCTACAAATATTCACATCATAAAACGGCAAGAACCTAAAAAGGTCATATTGAGTAAATAAATCGATTAAACCGATGGAAAATTTAAGACTACAGTCACATACAAAACTAGTAATGGATTTTCTGCAAATTCTCTCTCCCTCGCGCGATTCGAACTTCTTTTTACGTTAATTTGTATGAATCTTTGAAAATGGTTACAAGCTCAAGACGACTATAAATTGAAAACGACAAAATCCTGAAAACAACATTAATTTGTGTTATAAAAGACATGATCAAATTGGCAGTACATGAAAACGACAATATCCTTAAAACGACATGTTATTCTTGAAACGATAGGATCTTTGAAAACGACATGACTACAGAATGGACAACCTGATCAAAACGACAAATTTATTTTTTCCTGGGTGGAAAAAGTTTCACTCCGTTTGGTTTGGTAAGAAGGAAAGAAAATGAGAGAGAAGGGAAAATTATAAAGGATAGAAAACTAAAAGGAAAGAAAAGATTAGTTTAGAATTGATTCCGTTTTTATTTTTTATGTTTTTTAAGAAAGAAAAAATGAAAACGTTTCTAAAATAGTGTTTGGTGTAATAAAGATAAAAAACGGAAATGAAAATGATTTTTTAATTTAGTATAAAATGAGAGAAAAATAAAAAATAATTTTTAGTCATTTTTTATTTTTTATTTTCGTTTTTTTTTTCTCTCGAACAGAAAAAAAGAGAGAAATATTAATGAATTTTGTTTATATTAAAAATAATTTCTTGATAAAATTACTAAATACATTTTTAAAAATAATTTATGTTTGAGATTGAAAATGTTTTCATTTTCATTTTCATATAAAAAATAAAATAATTTTAAAACGAGTTCTAAACACACCCAATAAAACTCACTCCTTAATTTTTTCACCCAAATTTTATTTCCATCCAAACTTCTTACCAAACATCTCAATTTATCAATTTCCATTCTAAAATTTATCTGACATTTTCCTTCCTTCCAGTTTTCATTCATAAAAAACACTGTTAGTTTGTTTTTAATTTTTAATTTTTAATTTTTTTTTGCTTAAATTTTTCGCCATCCTTGCACGAAAATTTGGGAGGGAAAGGGGCAAAAAGGGAAAAAAACGCAAAATGGCAAAAAAAAATATTCCGACCGGCAAATCTCACCGTTTCAAAACCCCATTTCTAAAACCCAAATCGAAACACACAACACAGAGCGGGAGAATTTAGAGAGAGAAACAAACGTACAGAAAGAGAAAATGTCGGGTTTCTCGTCGGCGGCGGGCCAATCCGCTTCAGGCTTCCCATTCTCCAACACCACTCCGTCGTCTTCCTCATCGCCGGCGCAATTCTCATTCGGATCCTCCACCACTGAGTTCTCATTCGGATCCTCTCTTCTCTCCTCCACAAACCCTGCCTCAACTCCTTCCTTCTTAGCCTTCAACACCTCCTCATCTTCGTCTTCTTCCTCGTCAAACCCTAGATCCGCCGCCGCGCCATTATTCGGCTTCGCGTCACCGGCGCAGAATTCCAATCCCTCTACCTCTCTGCTTGGCGCCGCCTCCGCTGCGGCTCCGAGTTCTCCACTTTTGGGCTCGGCTTCTTCTCCTTTGTTTGGAACAGCGTCGATTTCGGCACCAGGTACGGGTTCATCTTTGTTTGGAGCATCGTTATCCAGTTCTAGTACAAGTTCATCCCAGTTTGGGGCAGCTTCATCTGCGGCGAGCTCTGCTCCGTCTTTGTTTGGGGCATCTTCATCCGCGGCGAGCTCTGCTCCGTCTTTGTTTGGGGCTTCTTCTTCTTCCTCTTCGTCTTCGTCGACTATTACATCTGCATTTTCTGTTGGTTCATCATCATCATTGTCTTCTTCGGCTTCAGCCACTCCTGCATTCCCAAGCCTATCAACGACCAGTTCTTCTTCTTCGGGATTTGGCTTTCCGTTCTCTACTACGGCTTTCGGAAAGCCCTCAACGGATTCCGCATCTACAACCTCCATTTCCACAGCTCCTTCCCTTGCCACATCGAGCTCTTCGGGTTTCTCTTTCGGAACTTCAGCTTCTCAGCCTTCCTTTCTGTCGAATTCCATCAATGCACCCTCAACCAGCTCTACCGTTTCCGCCACAAAGTCGACGCTGTCGTTCTCGACATCTGCAGCACCGTTGTTTTCGACCGTTACGACGACGAGCGCTTCTTCAACTCCGGCCTCAAGTGGTGCAACCCAGTCTTCTCTCTCGTTGCCAGCATTTGGCTCTTTGTCTGCGACAACAACTACTACTACGGCTTCCACAGTGGCAGCTGTTTCCTCATCCGCCACACCGTTGTTTACCGGCTTTAGTGTCGCTAGCAAACCTGCTTCATCCGCCGGTGCTGGTTCTTCTCTGAGCTTTTCGTTGACCGAAACAACTGCCCCTGCTGCATCCACACAAGCGTTACCAACCGCTGCTTTGCCCACCATTGGTGAGTTTGTATTACTTTTTCTTACTAGTTTTGAGTTCTTTGTCACTTTTGGCTAATTGGGTGTGGCTTATATGCAATGGAAGGTGATTCAGAGATGTCATTGCTGTTGTCCTTTGTAGAATTAGAATGAACGAAAAATATAATGAATTTTGAACCGCTAACGAAATGAGAAGGTAGGATAAATGATTAGGGAATCAGATGGACCTTTTGTGTTATTGTTGATGGCTGATACTAGTTGATCTTGCGCAAGATTACGAGTATTTTATCACTTGAGCATTGTATTGTAGAATTTTAGAAATTGATAAGAGGATGAACTTTCCACTTGTATCTTTCTGGCTTGCGTTCGATGATTGTTACCCCCAGTGAGACTGACATGCTTTCAACGTTGTCCCACCCAAATAAGAAAGACACGGAAACAGTTATGGTTTTATTATAACCAATGCTTGTTGTTTCATCTTGTATTTATGTACATTTATTGTTTCTGTTCATGGACTCTTTTTAATTATTGAAAATGTCTCAATTCTAGTCATCAGATTATGCTGTTGCTTAAGGGCCACGATCTAGTAAGGTTTCAGGTGTAATATTTATGCGAATTGGTTTTGTAGGTGTTTCTGCTTCAACTTCTACGACATTGACGGCATCCAGTTCCAGCACTACTGCAACTGGGTTGGTATACTTTACCCTTGTGATTGATCAACTCATTTTTTACCTTTCTGGCATTTGTAATAATTTAGTTTTGTTTTAAAGCAAATTTCTTTTACCTATATGGCTATATCTATGAAAAGTTTTTCAACGCATTAAGCTGTTATTGCATCTTTCCTTTATGCATTATCATTTGTTGCTATTTCATTTGCTGTTTTTGTCATTGGGTATTTTACATAGACGGTAGACCAAAGTCAAATTAATTTGAATTTTGAAGGCCTTTTGTAATAAATTCCTATTTTGATAAACAAATAAATCATTCCTATTATGTAAAATGCCATTGCCCGATGTTAGTTCTAGTTGTATGGAATTTTGGAAGGGAATATGTTTACCGGTGTATCAGCTAATCTTCACTAATGAGGTAGAATTCAATGTTCTTTCAAAATACATGTTATCCAAGTTAGAACCAAGTTCAAAAGAATATTTTGGCCCCCGTCTGGTTTGCTAGTACAAATTTTGTTGATTTGAACTTTTTTATTTGAACAGAGAAATTCGAATTGTATTATTTAAATTGGAGTTTGAATTAGCATTTGGGTGTGCAATTAAAATTTTAATCTGAATAGGAAATAAAATTTGAATTTGTGTTTGGTAGGTGTGAAAAGTAAGGAGAGTATGCACATTTTTACTGTTCAAAAATGGTTTGAACGGTTGAACTTAAAAGGGGAGCTAAACTCTTAGTTGGATAGTTCTCGTTCATTTCACCGATTCGAGTTTTACTACAGTAAAAAGCTCTTAGAAACAGTCACATTTAACTTTTTTGCTATAGTAAAAAGCTCTCAGAAACAGTCACATCTAATTTTTTTACTACAGTAAAAAGCTCTCACATAAAGTCACATCTCAACTCGAATTAAAAACTCGAATCAACGAACTAAACGGGCCCTTAACTCAGTTCAAGCGGGGAATATAATTCGGGCTATGTGCTTACCAAATATGAGTTCAAACTGTACTCACTGTTTGAACTAAGTTAAATTGAACTAAACTAGTGAAACAAATGAGGGCTTAGAATATGTTAATTGTTAACGTCCTCTTTAACAACTAGGAATTCACTGCCTCACTTGTGCTCTTTTGCCTTGGTTTTTCTGTAGGACAACTTCAAGTGTCAGCACTACAGTATCTGCAGCACCAAAATTACCATCTGAGATCACGGGGAAAACTGTTGAAGAGGTATGCTCCATTTGACTCTTGTATTCTTCTTCTTTTCTTTCATGACTATGAGTTATTTACCAATCTATCGATCTGGTTTATGGGCAAAGCTTTCTAGGACTAGCTACCAGTCAATGCGCCAATTTCTTTATCTTTATTTCTTTTTATAAGGGAAGATTTTGATCTGTTTCTTGATAATCAAGTTTAAGTTCCTTGCTACTAGAATGTCCTTGGAGAGTGCAGTTTTTGTTTGTTTATACAAATGGACACCATCTCTTAGAACTCAACGAAAGGACTGGTTCTCTTTGAAATTGTAGTCCAAATTTTGATGAGGAAAAAGAAAAGAAGTTAATGCCATACACAATAGAATCATAAATTATCCTTTCAAACTTTCTGAAGTTTTACTCCTTTTCATTAGTCCGGTTTTGATCTCCACTTAGATTTTACCCTGTACAGTTGGATCTTATGATGCCTTTCATTATCTTCTTGCATTTGAGCCTTTTGTTTTTCCTTTTTGAAGATCATTAAGGAGTGGAATGCTGAGCTGCAAGAACGTACTGGAAAATTTCGAAAGCAGGCTAATGCAATAGCGGAGTGGGACAGGAGGATTTTACATAATCGTGATGTTCTTCTCAGGCTTGAGGTAATCTGTTTGCTAATTCAAATATTCCGTATAGCAATTGATTAATGATATGAGGTCATTAACTCTGTCAAGCAAGATTGACTTCTAAATGAACGTATCAACGACTTTTTGCTAATTGTGGTTTGTCATCTCCCTTTTTTCTTTTTTTCTTTTTTTTACTGAAGCATGAATTTTCTGTTCCATCCCTGTTTACCAATGAGAAGCAAAACTAAATTCAGGATCGGTGATTATGCTTTTACATTGATTGCTCCCTCATTCACTCGCTGTGTGGTTGATTCCTTCTGTTAACTTCGTTTAGTAACCTGTTATGTATTTTCTATATTGATGCTGTTCTTGTTGATCAAATTGTTAATTGTTAATTGTTATTCGCATTGTTATCAGCCAGCCATCTTCTTATTGTCTCTCCTAATATATGAACTTTAATTTAGATTGAAGTGGCAAAAGTGGTTGAGACCCAAGCTAATTTGGAGCGGCAACTGGAGTTAATTGAGACACATCAAGAGGAGGTAGTTTTTATTATTTCAATTTCTGTATTCCTTGGAACACATGAAAAGAATAGAGCAAATTTTGAATTTACTTTGGTGCTTGTTAGAATAAAAGAGGAAAATCGGAACTAGGGACTACTTCAATATTAACCTTGCTGATAGATCACAAAGTAAAAAATTCGAGTCTAAAATGTTCTTTAAGCAAACCCTTTGAATAGAATCACTTTAGCATCACGAACATTCTAATACCTTTTGGATAAATATGGTAAAGCCCTGCTTGAGCAAAATAAATGAACAAATTTAGTAAAGCCCTATTTTGCGTCAGGATGTAATATCAAGTCCAAGTACTTGTTAGTGTTTTCTTTATGGTGTTTCATGCCCTTCAGTAATTTGTTATTTATCTTTTTTAAACCACAATATCACGAATGAGTAACTGCAAACCTTTGGTGTTTAAATTACCTTCACTTGTTTGCTTTTTATTTTTAGGTTGATAAGGCTTTGCAAAGCATGGAAGGTGAAGCTGATCGTATTTACAAGGATGAACGTGATTTACTTCTTGATGATGAAGCTGCCTCTACTAGAGATGCTATGTCAGTGCTTGGCTCTTCAATTTTTTGTTTCATTGTTTTTGAAATTATACAAGTATCTTAATTTAACTTGTTTATGAGCTCATCATCATCATAGATGTTATTATATTTCTTACCTGTTGTTACCGATTGTTGATTTTCCTTTCTGTTGCAGGTATGAGCAGGCTGAATTTATAGAGAGGGAAATGGAGCAGATGACAGAGCAGATAAAATCAATTATTCAGACCCTAAATGCCAGCCAGGTAAATGCTTTTTGTTTTTCTCCATTTTAATCTTTCTCACTTTTCGATTATCTTACTTTTAACGAACTGTCAAAGATCATATTTAACCGTTAATTTTGTTTAGGGTGGAGAGCTTGATACAAACGACACAATGACTCCACTAGATGCCGTCGTGAAAATTTTAAACAATCAACTAAGTTCATTAATGTGGATTGATGAAAAGGTTAGTGTGTTGATGTTGCTTAATCTTTTTATTCTTTGTGTTGATCAATAATTATTTGCTGCTTTTGAACACTGACCTTCCCCCATTTAGCCACGTTCTTCAATATGACCTGCTCTTTGCGTTTTTTCGGTGTGAGAAGCGTGTCTCATTGTCTTGCACTTGCGTATTACCATCTTATCTGGAAAGATGTACTTCTATAGTTCCACGTCCATTTTTAAAATACTGACTTACTCCAAACCTTATCAGGCCGAAGAATTCTCCACGCGTATTCAGAAGCTAGCCAGCCAAGGTTCTGCCGCCGATCGCCAATTGGTGGGTCCCAAATTCTGGATGTCCTGATTAACAACCTGCATTTCATTTTTATGGTACTTCAATATGATTCCCGCTTGAATCAGCTTCTTGAGATGATAGAAGATCATATGCAGAGGTGAAAAGTTGCGTTTTTTTTTTGTTTTTTTGTTTTTTTTCAACCTGGAGAAATGTTTCCTTGTAACCAATATGTTTTACTTTTGGATGAATAGAGATGTTTGTGGTGAATTACTTTGGCCCTTGTGTCGCTTGTAACCTTACATCTGTTGATATCCTTTTGTCACATCCAATAATTCAGGATGTCACTTCTCTTTCTTTTCTCTGTCGTGAAATCTGTAAACATTCTCGTCTTTCTGCTAGCTGCACCCAGAAAAAGTGGTGCCATAAAAATTGCGTGAAAATTATGGGAGCTTTTGTGATAAATTTTGGCCATTACTAATTTTTTTTTTTTTTTAATTATCAAATACCCAAAAGCAAATTGCCTCTGTTTTCTTTTGGCTTGCATTTTGATGGAAACCTCTACTAATCAGCAAGAACAGAATCAAAAGAACATGAATTTCATTCAATTGCAATCGATACCTACAACAATGGTGATTTTCAAGAGATCACTTACTCTTCTACACAACTCAATTTCTACAGAGTTCTCTCTAACTAACTTCTCAGCCTCCCTTACTAATAATAACCTAATTCAGTTATCTTAAAACTTCCTTAACAAACTATATCCACGTCAGCATTAATTACTGGCGTTTCTTTCTCTTAATATAGACCAGCATCGTCTGGTTCTGATCACATTATCACATTTCTACACCTAGAATCAGAATATATTCATTAATTCATACGAGTTATCTAGTACTTTTGAGTCGTTGATAAATAAAAGTACATATCTTTGCATCACAATTACTGGGATCAGTGCAAGCAATCAAACATTCCATTGCCAATCAATGATTGACACGTAGAAATTACTTGCAATGCTTATAATAACGATAATGCCTGTATTCAGAATTCCATCATAATGTGATAATTAGTATTTTCACCACATGAGGATAGTGGCCAGTGAAAAAAAGAATATATATGTATTTTCCTTTCCTCAGAAAAAAAAAAAACATTATTTTCCTGAAAACTTATTCGTACGTTACAAGTAGAAGAATACACTAGTTAAAAAAAAAAAAAAAAGGCAAGAAAACCTAATAACTAAATAAGCCAAACAAAATAATATCAAAATATGGTTTGCCATATTTACATGCTTGGGTTTCTCGTTTTCTTTCTTTTTCTTTTTCTTTTTTTTTTCTTTTTAAAGTTATTGTTATAATTATTTTGCACTTGCCCAGAAGCCATGGAAACCAAGAGGGAAATTCAGGTGCTTGGGGACTTCAAGTCTCGCAACAAGTGCATCAGCTTCTCCAATCCTTTTGGGATCCAAAATGACAAGATAGCATCTTTGTACTGAAACTGCATACTGCGAAGCAAGTCATCAAAAACCATATGACCATATTATATAACAAAGTAAAGAACAAAACTAATTCAAAATGAGATACCAATATAGAACTACAATACATTTGCTTACCTCAACGACAAGAAGGTAGCCATCGTCTTCTTCAACCCCTTTGGGGACAAAAATAGGCTCTCCGATGAATCTCCGGTGACCGACGGACCATGTGCGGACGGACTTGTTTGACACATTTAGCTTCGCCACCGTGTCGAATGGGAAATGAGGTAATGCAGGTCGAGAGCCTGAAGAAGCCGCCGCATATACACAAGTGTTTTTGTAGCCTGAAAATGATGGGTTTATAACTGGAAAATCCGCAGACTTGTTCCACTGGTTTAGAGTTTCCACCTCACATTTTTCATTGGAATTACCCTTGGTATCTAAGGTGATGGATACCTTAATAAAAAATAAAAAACGAAAACAAATAAGGAAAGAAGAACAACCTGTGCTTTAAAATTTACAACAATCATTAGATCAAACAATATAGAGTAAGGTGGGGCAAGATAGGGCTTGAGTTTGGGAGAGTGCAAGTTTGATATAAAGGAAATTAGCGGTACTTATTCATTGATAGCTAATAATAAGTAATGTCAATATTATTTTATAAATCTAAATTATCATGCATATTAAAAAGTAAATTTATGTGAGAGAAAACGTTATAGCGTAAAAAGTTAAATTTGAAGTTTTGTGAAGAAAAACACTGTAATAAACAGTTAACAAATGATATAAAGTGATTTCTCCATTGTTAACACTAGTTAATATTAGAGATTTAAGTAAATTATATCATTCAGCCAAAAAAAATAAATAATGGCATTGGGACTAAGTAGACGAGCACCTGAATAAGCTAAAGTTATAGCAGAACGACTCTAACAAATGATCAGCTCGACCTCTATATATATATATATATATATATATATATATTTGTCAATTTTATGAATAATGTGATATAGCATGCATAATTTGTTCCACTGTCCAAAAGAAGAAGAAGAGCACCTGAATTAGGTGGGGCAAGGGCAACATGTCGTTTTGGCCTGCATTTACGTTCATAATTGAAGGGTCAAGTTTCCCACTACGCCAATCATAGCCTGTAGACGATGATACAACAGATAAAGTTAGACCCTCCGGTATTTTTTGTTTAATTGCCACAATTAATATTATTGTTTCTTTCCAACATTTTTAGAAATTTTTTTTTTTTTAAAAGTAAATTGTATTACAAATTAAAGAAATACACATACCGATATCGACTTCGATAACATAATTCAGACGATAGAGATTAAGGAAACTTAAATATATACCAAATAGCTTATGGAAATTGAACCACTTGTAGGAACAAGCTGAAGCATGTATTTGGATATTGAGATTATTCTCATTTTCCTCCAAATGTTGGTAAGCATTGCCAACATGTAGAAGCCACAACTGTGAAGGAGCTTCCACAGGAACTCTCCAATCTCTCCTTAATAATAATCCATCTTCATTTTTGTTAGGGAATCTAGGAAGCAGATATATGGGAGTTGTGTTCTTGCTTGGATTCACTGACAATGCTGTTATCATTGGACTAATCCCACTTACTGCTATCATTGCACCTGCACACTTTTGATCATTTAATGCTTTTCTTGAAATTAGTTACATACTTAATCAAATAATTAGGATATTTTTACAGTAAGCGTTTTTATTGGTGGTGCATGTTTTGATCGTTTTATTTAGTAAAAATCACATCAAAATGAATATTTATGTACAATATACAGTTTTTAATACAGATATAACGACTAAGAAAAAACTTACCAGTAATTTTTAACAGTGATTTTACTTTTATGAATTGTATCTTTTTTATTTTTGATACAAGCTAGCTGTTCTCAGAATTTGAGTATGAAATTTCTCTCTTAAGCCCACCCCACCCTTATCAACAGAGCTAGCAGCAATTGACTAAACTCACTAATCTTGTTCCAATCTAATGGTCAATAATTTCAATATTTATCTAGAAATTAATATGAGATTCTTTTTATAAAGAGAAACCAATATATGAATGAGATCGGTCGAATATAGTGTAATTACCTGCAACATCAAGTTTAATTCGATTGGCAAATATTATATAGTAAGTGTCTGTGAAAGCCCAATCGTGGATCATTAAGTGGTCAGGGATTGTGAATTCTTGCTTGTGCAACAACTTAAAATTTGAGTCAAATTCTGCCAAGAAACAAGAGATATATCAATCAATCATTAGGATATACATTGTTTACTCTTTTGTTCTCTCTTTTTTTTTTTTTTTTTTTAAATGTTGCAATGCACACGAGCTTGAAAAGACCTTAAATATACAAGTTCATGATCAATATTTACCATATAATATAAATGTTATTCCAAAAAGTATTGTGCGCATTTACCATAAAATGTAAAATTGCTCCGTGGAAGTAGCATATCTTCTGCCTTGCATGACACAGTAAGAAGCCTATTCCTTTGAGCATCCAGCTTATAGTGAGACAATAGTCGTTTTGGGGGCATCTTGAAAACTCCTGTTACCAACTAATTTAATTTAAGCATATGTATTAAAAATGTTTATGACCATATGTAGCCAAATTAAAGGAATAATCTCGAGACTTGTGTTAAAAGTTTTAGGGAGAAGGAGGGAAATAGGCCTAATTAAGAGAGTAATAAGAATTAATAGTCTAAAGTTTAGGAATAGTTAATAAATAGACCATTTACTGTTAAATTGGATTTACCAGCACTTAAATTTACAAAAGTCTCCCCGTGTAAAAAAATTAAAATGACACCCAAGAAAAAACTAAAATTATCTCTCTTCTTGCGCTCTCTCTTTCTCTCTCTACGTTCGTTGTTCTCAGGCTATAAAAACCAAGCAATTAATCAAATATCTACTAGACAATCAGACTGTCTTACCCAGCACAAAGTAAAACCCGAACATTAATAGCCAATAGAACTAATCAAAACAATAATAAACTTAAGAGATTCAAACCAAATGACACAAATTAATGGTTCAAAACATAACTTATAAATTTACATTCTGATCAACAATTTATTTTTTTTCTAGCACAGATTGCTTAAAATACATATATTCAAATTATTCTAGAAACACCATGTTCTCTTCATGGCCACCACAGTACATGAGGTGCTGACTAACATTGAAGGCGGAGAACGACGGCAAGAAGATCTGGATGCAGATCAATGAAATTCGTCGCCGTTGAAAGGGCTCGCATTGTCTTGACTACACTGTCGTGAGTCTTGACGGCGAGGTCTGAGCTTAGATTTTACCAAAGGGGAGAGAGAGAAGTTGGGGAGGGTGGGAGAGAAGCAGAGAGGTCAGAAGAGAGAGAGAGAGAGGGAACCGTTTGGTGATGAGAGAAGAAAAGAGAGAGAGAGGGCTCCAGAAAGAAAAGAAAAGGAAAAAAAAAACAACAAATCCTATAAAAGGGTAAAATTGAAAGATAAAAGGTTTAAAACAATAAAACTGCAAATGGCCTATTTATTTCTGACACTCAGTAAATAAGTTATTTACTTCCACAAGTTTTAAATGTTAGCCTATACACTGCAATTTCTCAAAAATTTTTTTAAACGAGGGCTAGTGTTTTTGTAAGTGCTGATTTAGCACTATCTATTAATAAAATGCGGGCTTCATTAAAAAAAAAAAAAAAGAACAATTGATGAGATTATCACTAATAGATAACTTTAACCTTCCCTTTGTTAATAAACCGTCTATTTAAAGGATTTTAAGAGAGATAAAATTGTGAAAAAATAAAATCAGTGGATATGAAAAAAAAAATCAGAAAAGAAAAGAAAAGATTTACGTTTAGAAGTGTGATCTGATTCTTTATTTATCAGATGTGATTTTTCTTTGTCTACATTTTTTTTTAAAAATCTGCTTATTTATATTTATTATTTTTTTTATAGTAAAATTCGCATGTCATCCTAATGCTAGATTTTGTTTAAAAATAAATAATTTATTGCTGAAGAAGTGAAAATTGTGTATATAAAAAATATTAAGATAACTATATTTTAAAGGTGAATATCAACATTAAAGTGAGACAAGTTAATATCTTTATAGACTATAGTGCTGGAATATTTCCTTTTTTCTATGAGACAAATGTTGTCTGGTACCATCCGGTGACATCTATAAACGGGAAAATTGGTGGGGATGCTTCTATAATAATACATTTCACAATGATTAAAATAAGTACTTCAAAAATTGCCTAGTTGTTTTAGAGATAATTATAATCACTTATTCTTTAACAATTTCGAGGTGACATTTAAAATTAGTATCATAATCAGTAAATCCCAAAACTAACATATAAACTCGTGATTCCTTAATGTAAGTCTAATATTTTTTTTTTTAAAAAAGTGTGGAGAATATCAAGTAATTATAGCAAAACAAAACATAAAGACATACCATACAAAATCGGCTTCAACAGCCGTGCAGCTAAATCCCATACATCACCTCCCTCACTAACACCTTCCAACGACGAATCACAGCCATTGATCACATCAACCTTCCCAACAGTCTTCAACGTTCCAGATTCAATCTCATAGGGGTCCCCACCTTCCCACAAACACATCAATCTTCCACCCCACATCAAAACACTAGTGTTGGCCACATTCTTCATCACCTTGCTGTTCCCAAATTTCCGTCCACCTCGCAACACCGAAAACGGGCCCCGATACGTGAACCGCCACATGTCGGTGCCCGATTGGTGCTCCTCTTCTTGTGCCTCAGTCTTCACGTACCGAGCCATGAACTTAACGACGTTGTTTTCTCCAAACGCGAAAGCCCTGAGGTATCCATGGCCGTCCAGTGGATGCACCGTCGAGCCGTGGTCGTCGGAGAATATCCCCGGTCCGGCTAGGTAGTAAGTTCCGGCGGGGAAGTCCGCCGGAACGGCGCCGTTTATGACGTGAAGCGCGACGGGCTCGGCCGTCTCCGACCGCTGAGAGATGAAGAGGAACTGGTAGTCCCAGAATGCAGCGACGGCGTCGTCGTTTTGTGGGGTTGGGTGGTTAATGTTGTCGTTTTTGGTGGTGGTGGTGACATGGTTTGTGACGGACGTGGAAACGGAAATGGTTTGGAGAGTTTTAGTGGGCGGTGACCAAACACGGTGAACGGATGGTAACGGAAGCGGTGAAGAGAATTTTGGGCTGATCGTAGTTTTGAGAGATTTTGTGAGCTCCATTGTTTTTTTTTTTTAAAGAAAAAAAATTCCTGAAGAAAAGTTCAAAGGATGGCCGGCAGTGAGGTTTAAAACACTGCGTCGATGTATCATGTATATAGATATAAAAATACAATATGTTTTTTATATTTGCAATGGCCTGTGGATGTATATATAGATATAAAAATACAATGGACGCGTTTAAAACTCGTTTCAAAATAATTTTATTTTTTGTATGAAAATAAAAATAAAAATAAAAACGTTTTCGATCTCAGATAAAAATTATTTTTAAAAATGTGTTTGGTAGTTTTATCAAGAGATCATTTTTAGTATAAAAAACTCATTAATGTCTCTCTTTCTCTCTCTCTGCTCGAGAGAGGAGAAAATAAAAACAAAAAATCTAAACCAAAAATCGTTTTTATTTCCGTTTTTTATCTTTATAGTGCCAAACGCCGATTTAGAAATGTTTTTATTTTTTTCTTTAAAAACGTAAAAAATAAAAACAGGATCAATTTCAAATACGGTTAATATGTTTTTTATATTTGCAATGGCCTTTTCGATTTAATTATAGATCTGCCATCTTTGTGGCGACGTGTGATTTGCGCCCGTTGAATGTGCATGGTGGTCCGTGGCGTATCGTTGTTATTGGCATTGGAGGACACATGAGGAAATTTGTAGAAGAGATGGCAGACATACTAATATTATGCTTAAATTTGTCAATTGTCATACCTTCATTTTGTTTCTATGCAAATTAATAACGGGGTTTCTTTTTCAAAAGAAAAAAAAAGATTATCAATACATAAAGAAAAAAGATACGGTAATTATTCACTTCATCTTATATGTCATGCATAAATATTGCACATCTTGGCAATTATTGCGTATGTAATTACATTTTCAAACTATAGGCTTTTAGTGCTCTTCAATAGATCACCAAGTGGATGTTTAGTTTATAGATTTAGAATTATGGTTCAGAATTATTCTCGTTTTACGTGTATTTTTTATGAGAGAAAAATATTGTAAAAAATCATTAATCATGATTCAGAATCAGAGACGAATACAAAAAACAAACGTTAGACAAGTGAAACTTGGAAGGAGACAGGGGGTTTGACTGAGGGTTTAAAAATATAATATTCTTGAATCTGGGGGCGATTGGCATAAGTAACTCGTGGAAAATCAACACCAAAAAAGGTTAAAAAAGCAAATGGGAGAGGGAAAAGAAGGGGGGGATTTTTACTATAATGACAATTTGGTGAATAAGAAAGAGAACAAGTGCGTTCCTTAGTGGTGCATTACTAATATTAAAATATTAGTGGCACTAATATAAGACAATAATTGGGAGTTTGATACCAAACATGTGATGTTGTTGGGATTCCTGTCATAGTAATGACAACCTGAAATGCGCACCATCATGGGTTGATTGTATATCCGCCGTCTAAAGCGGAATCTTGTACTTCTCAGATTCTCCCATTCTGTGCCCGTCGGTGTTTGGACGGTTTTGTCAATCAAAATTTCAAGTCAAACGACGAACCGTATGCGTTTCTTATGCCTCACTTCTTCTTACTTACCCATCCAAAAGTATCTAATTTCAAAATTTATAGAATTTTTTTTTTAATTTTCAATTCCACCATCAGCTTTTACTTTTAGTTATACACGAGTTAAAAACATGATTGTCTCAAAATTCGTGTTCTTTAGTACTTAAATTTTGAACAACAAATTAAACTTGATTATAAGTCTGGTCTATTTAGAAAATATAAAATAGATTTAAAAAGCACAAAAGCGATTTCAAACAAATAAGTATTAAAATATTTGTATTCTTAGTTTAGTTCAAAATTTTACTTTTAAACTCATCTGTTTAGCTTCTTAATGCCAATTGCAGTTCCCTTTAAAAAATAACTGATGTTAGCTCTTGAACAAATTTTGAGAACGTTTGGTTGATAGATTCAGAACTATTCTCCTTTTACGTGTATTTTTTGTGAGAAAAAACACTATAGAGAACTATAAATCATGATTCAGAATCAAGAACGAATCTAGAAACCATTCTCGTTTTACGTGTATTTTTTTTATTATATATTCCATCCCTCCGTATCAAAAGCAGGGACGTTCCCTCCTCCCCTTGTTTATTTATTTTTATTTTTATTTTTATCTAACCGTTCAGATTTATCTGACGGCTTTTATTGAAGGGAGGGTAGCGTTCTTTCAGATTTTTGCCCATTTACTTTTGGTTGGCAAACAACTGGTTAATAGGATTATTAAGGGTGCGCTTGGTAGATGGATCGAGAATCATGATTCTGAATCTTGATTTATAATCAGTATTTATTTACAGTGATTCTGAATCATGATTCAGAATCAGTATTTGGTTTGGGTCTGAATCATGATTCATAATCCGATGTGATGTTTTAAACTAGTTCAAATCATGATTCTAAAACCACTTGATTCAAGGTGATTCAAATCCATGATTCTGAATCATGGTTTCAGAATCATGATTTGAACCCAAAATCATAAATCATGATTCTAGTTTCAGAATCATGATTAAAATCATACTAGTTTGAATCATCATACCAAATGAATCCTAAATCATTGCATAAACGACAGCTCGTTTTGCGTTGAGAGTAAGAGATGCTTGAACACTAACTTGACCGTTTGTTTAACTTAAAATGATAAATTAGATGCTCCTAATATGATGACTGATAACTGAAAAGTAACGATTATTATTATTATTATTATTATTATTATTATTTTGGTAAACAAGCACTGGACTGAAAATTATTGTTGTTATATTTTGTATCCTGTGTCCGTGTGGCTGCCCATGGCCTTATAAACCAGAATCTCATGGTAAAAAGTTACAAGTTATGCAATTGTAATTTCAAATCTATATGCAACTTGCAATCTTAAAATATCTGCAGTCTTTAAGTAATCCAAATTCCAAATGGATCATGTGACCAAAAAAAAAAGGGGTCGTTAAACGGATACTTGTCCTGAAGTAACAAATCAGACGTGTATTTTTTATTTATTTTTATTTATTTATTGGGTTAGATAAGATAACTAATAGTAATAAGTAACTGCAGACTTTAAATCCAGTACTTAGGGCACGAATAAAGCAAACAACACAATATGAAAATTATACTAAGGAGAAAAAAAAAAAAAAAACAGAATATGAAAATCATGCACAGCTTCTAACATGCCTCTCCGTTATATTATAAAATTATTTGATCTAATTATTGATCTTATTTTCATTTCTTCTGAAGGGAAAGAAAACGAAAATAAATTATCGAAAATATTATATCTTTCAACAATATTAATTTCATTAGTATTGTACTCTACAAAATCATCTAGTGTGTACATGCTATGTGTGTGTGATCTATTGGAGGAATAGCTTACTCTGGGTGTTATTTATAATTACTAGTCTTTGATGATAAGCATTTTTCTTAGATTCCTAATATTTAGTTTTAGAGGTCTAGTTGCCCCGAGATTTCAAAAAATATAAAGTTTTGACCACCCCTTTACTATTAAACCTCAATCATTTACAATCTCCCGTAAATTGGGAATTGTTACCATGACTTAAACATTCCATGTTTCATCGATTTAGTGTCTCTTCTTCCATAAATTTTGCACAATTCCTCTCCTGTTTATATCTCTTTTCTTACTTTCATTCTAATTAATATACTTTTCATGCAATATAGTGAAACTCTCACGACTATACAGTAACCTTTTTATAGCTCTTTTCTTACTTTCATTCTAATTAATGTACCTTTCATGCAATATAGTGAAACTCACACGACTCTACAGTAGATGTAGCCTTTACGTTGAAAGTGTATCACTATAAATCTGCGTGTTTTTATCATTTATTTACTTTATCTTACTTAACATTATTGTTATTGTTGTTTGTCAACTCGAAATAAAATGACTCGTCGCTCCACTTGAAGTCCAAAAGCGGTCATTGGTCCTCGTTACAAATTTAATTGTAGATTTTACCTTTTATAATTATCAAACAAGTCATGTGGATAGAATAAAACTACCCTTTCATTAAAATGCTACAAAAACTAATTTGATTTCATCAGATGCAGTTTGAGGAGGATTTAAAATGCTACAAAAACTAATATGATTTTATCATTTTAGTTTATCAATCCATCCCAAAAGCTTAAACTAATAGGAGGTGAGCCAACAATAATTTTATACTTGAACACTCCCCCTCACGTGTAAGCTGGACAATAGATAATCGTGCGTGTAAATTAATTAGAAAGCCCAACACGTAAATATTTAAGGCTGAGATATATTAAATACTCAACACATGATGACTATTTAAATGGAGATAAATAGTATAATTACGAGAGTTTAAACTCAGGACCTCCCGCTCTAATACTATATTAGTTTAGCAATCCATCCCAAAAATTTAAACTAATAAGAGAGACTAACAATAGGTTTATACTTTTAAGATGTTGCAGTTTGAGGAAGATTTGACGCTGATGGATAGTCCACACCTTCTCCTTTCCGTTAGGAATTGGCGTACTTACAGGGATTATTTTCATAAAAGTCCTAACAAATAGTCATTTTTCCTTCACTTTTGTCTACAATCCTAACGGATTTATTTTTTAAAATATAAATTCTTATATTGTCGTTTTATTTGAAATTGCTAGCTTTGAAGACTGTTAAATCTTTCATCGAGTGTTATCGTTTTTCAAGGTAGTTTAATCTGATGTTGTCGTTTCTCAACACATTGAAGTACCAAACTTCTAAAACGACGACAATTTATAAGTGGAGAATAACCTTAAAAGGACATCTAAATAAAACGAAAATAATCTTGAACAACGATACAAAATATGACAATACATCTTAGATTATTGTCTTTTAAGAGGATATTGTCGTACATTGTTGTTTTTAAAATTTTACTCGCGTCGCAATTTTTTTTTGTTGGTCTAACTTGAAATTGTCGTCTTCATAACTCACTGTCCTTTTTAATCTGTAAAAAAAAAAAAAAAAAAAGAAGAAAAGAAACAAAAGCACATTTTCCTTTAATTGAACTCATCGTTTAAGGTGGTTTTATTTATCGCTTTCGGTTTTCCAGAAATTAATGTCGTTAAGAAATTTTGTTCGTTTGGACTTTGGAGGCTAATGTCATTAGTGTCGTGTTTTAAGTTTATTGTCGTCTTTACACAGCTTTCGGTTACATGTTATATAGTCGTTTACATGTTATTTCCCATTCGTGTTGTTATTCTTTGTAAATTAAATTGTAATTCTTCCTGGCGTCTACGTTATCTGTCATTTCTTTTCTGGCTCATTCTAAGTGCTTCTTATAAGCACTCAATTTGAATTTGTTACCATTTATGATTTTATTCATCATTTCTTGAATCATGAGTATGCGAATACGCTAATTGTTGTACTGTTTTTTGGCGCATAAGTTAATAAATGGTTGGATTTTTTTTTTTTTGGGGAAGAGATTAGATTTTGCCTCCGCATTTTTAAGCAATTTGAGTACCATATGCAAATAACTTCAAGCATGCCCATTGTGCGGTTTTTTCAAAGGCAAAAAAAAAAAAATAATAAATGAAAAAAAATCCGAGAAACGATCAATCACCTTCGAGTTCTATTTGCCGTGAAGGTCATAATGATTTAGGCCATGACTTAGGCATTGTTCATCCCATTTTCAAGAGTTGAAAAGTAAATTTATGTTAAAAAAAAACATCGTAACATAAAAAGTTAAATTTAAATTTTTTTAAGAGAAAATATTATAGTAAAAATTTGAGTTGTGTTTCGTACTAACGGGGCATGACCTCTTCGTAAAATGTGGAAAGGCTTAATTGATTTGGGTCTCTCAAATTATTATTGAGTTCTTTAGATTCAATAGATCAAAAAGAAAAAAAAGTGAGAATGAAAAGAGAAAAGTAAAGAAAAGCGAAAAAAAGAAAAGAATAAAAAAACTATTGTTGGAGCTTCCGAATAGAAGAATCTCTTTTCCAAACAAGTATATATCCACGGCTTGTGCCTGCACTGTATTGGATTACGATTTTATTTGGTAAATGTGATCAATTAGATTATTTGCTAAGATTTGTAAGAAAAATATAGTTGATGACTACCCCGACGGTATGATGTGTATAGAGTTTTCACCTGTTAATCTCCTGTACTGAGCTTCCTTATAATTAATTACTTTGTTTAATTAGTTGTTGCAGGTGGATATTAGTTTGAATGGGTGAGAAGATGCGCGAGTCAGAATTACTGCTTCATCTAACCGTGCTATCACCTTTGCAATCATTAATGTCTGTATTAAAAGTATAAAATTATAGTTAATCCACCTCTTAATAATTTAAATTTTTAAAATGTATCGATAAATTAATATGGTATTAGAATGGAAGGTTTTGAGTTCAAATTTCCGCAATTACACTCTTTATTCCTATTTAAATTGTTATTATGTGTTAGATTTTTAATATATCTCAGACATAAATATTCACATGTTGGGTTTTTTAATTAATTTATCTACACGATTACTCATTGTCCAGTCTCACACATAAATGGAAGTGTTAAAGTATAAAACTATTTTGGCTCACCTCCCACTAACAGTCTGGATCAAACATCAGAAAGTCAACACTCCAAAAGAGCCTATCAAGGAAGTTGGAGAGTTTCTTATATGGTTAAAATAACACAAACATAAATTTTAATTGGTCGAGTATATTATAAAAGTTGAAACAATATAATGTATAGACTTATATACATTTGATCTATGGAAAGAAACACATGAGATGGACGAGGGTGACATCACGTTCTATGTAGGTTTTTATCAAGTACATGAACCGTCTAATCTTATATCTCTCTCATCTTCAAAACAATGGTAATTTTGATTACTTGTTCCCGTACTGAAAAATCTCTATAGTCTGAAATGCTTATAATCTCAATAATATGATTGTTTTTGCTTTGTTACTTGTAATATCTTTTAACAAGATTCTAACAAAATATTTGCACTAATTAACAAGGGTCAAATAAGGAAATTGCCCCATTCCTCCAGTCAACTGCAGATCTGCTAGAATTAATAAAACAAGGAGGCTCAAATTATCTCCTATTTATGCCGGATTGATATTATACCACGAAAATAAGCATCCCATGTTCCGCCCTTTACTGTCTCTTCTTTCTATAATTTCCACGCAATTCCCCTCCTCTTTCTCTCCCTTTCGCACTTTCATTGTAATTGTACTTTTCATGCAATATAATAAAACTCTGAAGACTCTACCGTAAACGTAGCCTTCATATTAAAAGTAAATCACTATAAATTTACGTGTTTCGTTTTTTTATTTACTTTATCGCTTTTAATGCTCTTGTTCTTGTAATCTATTGATTCAAGCTAAAGCATATAGCCACTCCACTGGACGTCTGGGAACAATCATTAACCCTCGTTACAAATTCAATTGTAGATTTTTGAAAAAATTATAAGAATAACCATGATTTTTCACTATCCTATTATTAATGCAATTAAAGAATATTTTGGTAGAATACAGAAAATACCATCCTAGAATCGCCCTTACGACCTAGTGGGAGCCGACCTCTTCATGGACGGGGCTGCAGCTGTCATCATTGGGACAGACCCGATAACCAACTTGGAATCGCCCTTCATGGAGCTAAATTCCGCCGTCCAACAGTTCTTGCCCAACACACAGAACGTCATAGATGGGAAGCTGTCTGAGAAGGGCATAAACTTCAGGCTAGGGAGACGCATTCCTCAGAACAAGAAGCTAATGGCGAAAGCCGAGCTGAAGTTTCGAGTATCACGAGCTGTTACGGGCGGTTCATCCCGGCAGGCCCGCGATTTTGAACAAGCTGGAGAGTTGTCTGAAGCTGAGGAGTACTAGAAGGGCATTGATGGACTGTGGGAATGTGAGAAGCAACACCATTTTGTATGTAATATAAAAATTTGAGAGAAGAGTTAACCAGAGAAGGGAGTGAAGAGTGGGGGCTTAGTCTGGCTTTTGGTCCTGGCATTACCTTTGAAGGGATTTCTCATTGGAAACCTTTGATAGGAATTGTGATTTGCTGAATCCTTTGAAGAATTGGTCATGTTAGAGAAATAACAAGAGGAAAGTTTGTTAGAAAGTTCCTTTTTTATTTTATGTTGGGAAGAAAATTGATGCATGCAAAGAGGGATTGGAGGGAAGAAATTGTATGAAGTTTGCTACAACTTTATGTCATTGTCTTTTGGTTTCCTTTGATCTCTTTTGCTTAGTAAATGAAGTACTAATAATTAAAGTAAAAGTTGTTTGATTTTCAGCCAAAGAGAAAGGGTAAAAGTTGGTTTGTGTCTCTTCCCTTACATGTATATGAAAAAGTACTTTCTTTTTAATAATAAATGATAATAATAGTAATAATAAAGATATTTAAAGACAATCTTAGACTTGAAGTATGGAAAAGAAGTATTTATGTCAACCGTGAGAAGACCGATTGGTGTTTGGCCAAATTAGTCATTTAAGTATGTAATATCCTTTTGCAATAAATATGGCTCTGCTTAAAGCTTAATATTATTTGTCTCAAGGCCCTTTGAATAATGTTGAAGTCCCGTTGGAAAGTGCTCATAATTTCCTTTTTCCCTTTCTTCTTTCATAAGTCTCGTTAAATTTGATCAAAATTATATTAAAAATTAAAAAATATATGTTGTAAAAACAGTTTGTGATACATATTCATAAGCCTATTAATAATCATTTTTTCATTTCCCGCAGTAAGACCTAAAAAAAAAAAAAAAGAGAACCATATTAACTAAAAAAAAGAACTTCTACATTAGACTGTGCTTTTTAATTATCGATAAGAAACGATTTAAATAACCATACATATTTTAGCCTCGTTCGTTTCGCTGATTCGAGTTTAGAATTTGAGTTTTGTTACAGTAAAAAGCTCTCACAAACAATTACATCTAACTTTTTTGTTACAATAAAAAGCTCTCACATATAATCACATCTCAACTCAAATTTTAAATTCGAATCAGCGAAACGAACGAGACTGATAGTTACAAAAGGAAAGCCGTAGAAATTCCTAAAAAGAAAAAAAAAAAGGAAGAAAGAAGTTACCCAACCTTCAGAAAGAATCTTTATTCTTCAACACAAAAATGAAAAAAGAAAAAAAAAGAAAAAAAGAAAAAAGAAAAAGGACATCGTTCAACCACCAAATCCAAGCACATGGAAAACGACTGTACCAACGGCGTCGTTTAATAATTCGTTTCTCCCGTTATTGCTTTGCCGTTAAGAAACCTATCCCCTTTCTTCATTCCCAAATATCTCTTGCAATAAATATCAAATCCCTAAATCTCACTTCAATTTAATTCGTTTCGATTCTTTGCTCTTCTTTTATTTCGCGCTCTATTCGATACCCAACTTAAAATTTGATCAGGTAAAATCATCACTATAAAAGAAGTTGTTCACTACTATTTATCTTTGATCTACAGTCGAAATTTCCGATTTTTGTTTTCTTTCATACTCTGATATCATGTGAAATTCCGGCCAGACTATATATACGCACTTGTAGAACCACATAGACTCGCGCGCGCGTGTGTATTCATATATATATATATATCTACTTATATATATATATATGTACGCATTTTTTCTTGAATTTGTGACCTAGTTATGCTTTGGGGTTGGATTTGGCAGAAAGTGAAATCTATGATGCAAGCTGGAAACCGGAATCGCGGAGAATCATCCACGCCGTTGATTGTATCTCTCTCTCTCTCTCTCTCTCTCCATTTTTCAAATTCTAGTTTGATCCTTGATCACTTGTACTTTTGCTTGTAGATTCCCAATGTTAAAAATAAAATATTTCCCAATTTATGCTTAGGGTATTACTAGTGATCTAGAGAAAATGGTATTTTTTGTTTAAAAGAAGTATTGAACAGAAAATTATTCATAAATGGTATAAATATGGTTTTTTTTGTTTGTTTTGGTGTGGTTCAGAATGATAGCTTAAGAATTGAGGAGATTATCCCTCAACTATTCACCTCAGTTCCGTCCCTAAATGAAGCTGCCTCTTATATTGCACAAACTACATCATTAATAACCGGTTGTTTCTCTGACTTTTCTGGTAAGTTTCCTTTGCAATATGGATGATTGTGGATTATGTTCCGTTTCCTATTCTTTTTAATGTTCAAACTTGGGTCGAACTTGCTTTCATTTGCTTTGTTTTTGAGCCACATATTATTGTGTTTACTTTTCAGTAAAATTATTAATCAAGGGAAAACAGAGAAAGTTAAGTTGTGAAATTGATTGCTTGACGCAGAATATTAACCCGGAATCTATAAACTCTCGCTCGCTGTTTATTTTTTCTTCCCTTTTATAAATGAATTTATGGCTTCCTTTGGAGTGCATTTTTGTCCAACCATTCCTTTTTAAAAGTTCTTTTTTGCTCTTTCTGTGGGATCCTTCAAGGGTATTTTATCATGTTGATATTTCAAGTTTAGAATTTCATGACTCCAATAGCCAATATACCAATATCTTGTCTGTGAACTATCACAATTTAATCTCTGACGAATCGATGTCGTCCACTCATTTTTCATCTTTCAATAACAGTCTTAGTCAGAATAAGGTGTAGAAATTAAGGATTGAACAGATCTGAACTAATCATTGCTCATGTGCTTGGATGACATTTTCTGCCTTGTACATGCGTATGCCTATTTGTTTCAGTTACATTGGATTGACTTGTTTAGGCATATATCTATTTTTGCAGTGGAACCTTCGTCTAGAAATGTGGAAGATTCCAGCGGAGATGGTCAGGAGTTAGTTACGTTTTCATCTGGGCTATCCCAGGGATCTCGTACTAGCTCTACTGATCATACGTCTTCAAGTGGATATCATTTTACACGTGCAGAATCATCTGGTACTTCCCGTTACTCTGCCTCTATAAATGATGGAACTAGAAGGACCTCTGCTGGAGATTCTTCTCAAATTTCTGGCACCCTCGTACAGTCAAATCAAAATGGTCAAACTGGCATATCTCTCTTTCAAGGGTATTGGCCTTCAGCATGCTACATTTTCTTGTATTGAAGACTAGTCCTTTTGAAAATGTTACAGCTGTTTCTAAAAAGTCCAGAAATTATAAGATGTTGTCAAATTGGAAAGCTTATGATAATGGTCATCCTTCTAAGCGAAAAAACACAGGAAGATCAGTGGTTTTCTGGTGGCTACTAGAGTGGTTGATGGGAAATGCCACTTAGGCCCTACATTAAATTCAAATGGACATTGTCAATATGCTTATCTCTAAGATTACATTTTTTTTTCCCGTGAGTTTTCTTGCTGTCAATGTTGTCTTGACTGGAAATACAAATGATGCTTGTTTCGACTTTCAGCCTTATAAATCGGGTGCGAAGAACTGTCCATGGATCTGCTGATGACATAGGCTGGCTACAACGTGATCCAGAGATGCCGTCAGTTGAAGATGGATCAGAAAGATTCACAGAGATTCTGGACAGTATCAGGTATCTCATGCTGTTTAACTCATACTATCTCATGTTGTTTCACCATAGACCTATGTCTGCATTGAAAGGTTACACATTGTTGATCGACCGTTCCATTTTGACAGGCATGGCGTTCACAGGTTGCCGAATTCAGTGGTGTACTTGTTGGTTCCAGGTATCTTTTATTAATTTATTTATTTTGAACTATACTGAACAGGATCAAGCTTATAGTTAGATCTTAACATCATACAGGTCAACTTAGTAATTCCAACACCAAAATCCTGCTTCTCTGCTACAAATTTTTTGTGCTCTTTCATAAATAAATATAGAACAAATTGAAGTTTCTACCTGAGATCTTGAACGTCAAACTTGAAAGTTGTGAATAAGAATATGATGGTGCTAGGCAGTATATCATATCATCTTTCAAATATTAGGATGATGCCAGCTTCTAATCAAGACCTTGATTATAGGTCTTGTGAACTTTTTATTTTAATTCCGGTAAATAAAATTTAAGCTACAGATTTTTAGAGCATCTCCAACTAATCATTGTCTGGAAGTTGACTTTTTCTATGTTGTGCCAATATTCACTTCTATGGTGTTATCCGTGGATCAAATATTGCTGACAGCTTTAATGTTTAGTCATGTGATGATGATCCTGATTTATAACCTTTTCCTTTTTTAAATGTTACTTGTGCATTAGTTCTAGAGTTTGTGCAAGTTCTAGGTTATACTCTTGTTTCATCTTGGCTACTTTCTGTGATATACAGGTCTTTTCAGCAATCATGGTCCACTGTATTTTGTCAACACAAAAATGACTTTCTCAAAGATGGGTCTCGCCTGTCATATTGCCAAGATTCACAGCGAGGTTTTTATTTATTTACTTTTTTTTTCAACGTCTATGCACCTTATTTTACTTAGAATTTTAAACTAAAAAAGTTTAGATGATTCTAAATTAGGCTTCAGTCGAAAAAAATGCTAGGGAGATAAAGGATTACATTGAGGAAATCTATTGGGGTTCCAAGAAACGTGTTTTGCTTCTTGGACATAGCAAAGGGGGAATAGATGCGGCAGCTGCTTTATCATTATATTGGTCTGATTTGAAAGATAAGGTCGCTGGTTTGGCATTGGCCCAAAGTCCATACGGTGGTAGTCCGATTGCTTCAGATATTTTGCGGGAAGGGCAGCTTGGAGACTACGTTAATCTACGGAAATTAATGGAGATTCTGATTTGTAAAGTGATGAAGGTATTATGACGTGTTCACCTCTTTCTCTCTCATATAATATATACACTCACACACACATATATCTTTGTGTGGCGTTTTCATTTCCTTATTCAAATTTGTGCACTAATATTATAATGTTGGGTCTCTTTCCTTTGGACATAAAAAACGAGGGTGGTGAACAGTGACAAGATTTGTTATTTATTTGAGTCCTGGCCTAGCAATTGTTGTTTTGTGTATAAAAAATGGAGTTAGTTGCTAGAACAGGGTATGTTGATTTTGTTCTTTCGGGCCATAGGCATCATTTCTTGTGCCTTCATATTCTAGATAACATGATATCAGCAACACTTGAGCCTTGTTTGGTAGGAGGGATATGGATGAAGTAATTAGTAGAAGGATTTTAAGGTTTATGGCTATGTGGTGGGAGGGATTAAATTGGGGAATTGATTGGTGAGGAATTCAAAATCCTTGCAGAACTCCAGTTTTAATCATTCCAAAGTTGGAAGGGTTGCAGGAGGGGAATCCATGCCAATTACAATAAGAGAAAAGTCCTCTCTTTTTTCCCACCTAGGTTATATGTACCTTTATATCCTTCCTAGTTTCTTTCCTTCTTACCATAAACAGCCTTAAAGTAGTTAATGGAGTCTTTTTTTTTGCTTTTTAATGGTGCTTAATTTAATTGTCAATCTTGAATGATGGTTACTCATGGGAAAAACTTTCCAATTTGAGTCCTTTATGGTTATGGGATCGTGAGAGAATGATATTCTGATCTTGTTGTTATCTGCTGTTATGAAGGGTGATTTGCAAGCTCTTGAAGATCTAACCTATGACAAGAGGAAAGAATTTTTGAAGAAACACCACTTGCCGAAGGAACTGCCTGTTGTTTCATTTCACACAGAAGCTGCAATCACTCCGGCTGTGCTGGCTACATTGTCGCGCGTCGCACATGCAGAGCTACCCATGGTTGGTCCCCTTTCGGAGTCCCCGACACTACCGCTACCAGTGATAATGCCCCTTGGTGCAGCAATGGCTGCCTGTGCTCAGCTGCTGCAGATCAGGTATGGTGAGAAGAGTGACGGGCTCGTCTTGTGTCGTGACGCAAAAGTCCCCGGTTCCGTTATAGTGCGGCCAAAACGCAAACTGGACCATGCGTGGATGGTTTACTCGTCTTTGTCCGATGACCCTGGTGAAGCTGATGCCTCTCAAGTGTGCGAGGCTCTTTTGACTTTGCTTGTGGAAGTTGGGCAAAAGAAGAGACATGAACATGCCATGAAAGATGAATGACCGTCTATTGATAGTTTCAATCTCGTTATTGCGCTATTAATGTAAATTTGTATTTCCAAATATATCGTGTACTTAATAGTTTTTTTTTTCCTTAAGAGAAAAAATAATAATAATGAACATGTTAGTTCTACAGGTATGCTTCCACACTTCTTGTTTAGACTGTAGTTTAAACATAAACTATACGTGCGCCTGTAGAATATATTGATTTATTTCAAAAAAAAAAAATTCAGTGTGATATTTCTCCCAAAAAAAATTCAGCGCATAAAAGAAATATAAAAAAGAAGAAAATTTCGATGCAAGTGCTTTTCTTTTTCAAGGGGGTAGAAAAAGCCAAATATTCTTATATTTTCGTTGTTCTTTTTTCCCATCAAAATATCAAAGAAATATTTCAATATATAGGTTGTTTAGTTTTTTTTTTGTTTTGTTTTTTTTTTTAGCAACATATAGGTTGTTTAGTTGCATGCAGTATGTTGTAATTTTTTTGTTGAGAAAAAAAAAAGAAAGAAATCAATTTTGTCATTCCATCACCCATCTCTTAAGGTCTTATTTATTTATTTATTTTCCTAAAAAAAGAGGAAAAAAAATAGATGGGTGGTATCTTCACGTCTCCAACATAGCCGTCACTTAACATTCTATTAGAATATCAACGTCTCCAACATAACCGTCACTTAACATTCTATTAGAATATCAGATAAAATGGAAAAAAATTTAACTTATACTTTCCTCAATTAGCATCAAAAATTAAAAAAAAAAACACATCATTTAAAGCCATATTAAAGAGATTGATGGGACGCATAAATTTAATCTTATAATAAAATTAGATTCTCAATTATCACTAGTGTTTTGATAGATCGTATTTCGTTATTATGCTAACGCCATCGGTGGTTTTTTAGGTCCGGACTTGCGAATGGGTTAGTCCTTCTCGGCAATGATTTTTTTTTGCGCAACTTGTCAATGTCATTTGGGTAATAATATATTGAACCGGTTATTTTGATTTCAACGCTCTCAAAATTCACCAATCAAACCGTAGCATTCACCCAGCTACCTTCTTTCCCGGTGAACTAATCACGGGTCCTTTTAGATTCCTTGAACAGAGACAACAACTTTCGTAATACCCAAAATACCCTCACAGACTTATTGAAATTTCATGCTACGATACGCCAAAAAAAAAAAACAAATAATAATAATAATAATAAAAATAAAACCAAATAATATCATTTCATTTCACTCTTTTTTTCTTCCTCCCTCTTGGAGCGAGAAAACGAGAGAGAGAAAGCGAGCGGCAACAGATAGATCACTGCGTTTCTTCAGAGAGCCTCGAGAGCTCGGAGAAGGAACTTCGAATTAGGGTTTCAGAAGAATTTCGTTTCTGAAGCGGTAGAGAAGGAAAACAGTCGGTTTTGGGATTGGATTGAGGAGTTTTCCATTGATTGATTGCCTAACTAGGGTTTCATAGTTTGATTTCTGCGTAGGGTTTGTTTGTCTGGTCAGGAATTGATTGCCTTAGGGTTTTCTGGGTTCCTTTCGGAGGAGCAGAAAATTCGGTGGCTCGGGTGATGTGAGAAGCCGTTCCGTGTCGGTTCTAGGGTTTCAATGGGGAGCACGGGAGAGCCTGACCGGAAACGCCGCCATGTTAGCTCCATATCCCCTACGGCCGCTGCAGCAAAGAAGCAGCACTTTTTGCCCATCTCCGAGGACAAAAAGGTGAGTTTTTGGCGCTTTATGCTTCAGACTCTCTAAGATTTAGGTATTTGATGAAAATGGGGGTGTTTCAGAGTTTTAGGGTTCGTTTTGGTGTTTGGCACATTGGTAATTTGCTATTTTTGTGTATCTGGTATACCGATGTACCTTAAGAACATGTGTTTGTTGATTAATTCATTTACTCGGAACTCTGAATTGATCGGGTGAAAGTTCTCGAAATCTCTTTTGTCGTTGTAAAATTGCTTTTTGCTAATCTTAATCTTTCGTATGCATTTAATTTAGGGATACTAATGTTTTCCTTTTCTTTTCATCTTCTCTGGAAGAAATCCATATTTCGGTTGGCAGTATTTAATTTCATGCAATCCTTCATTTCCATTTGATTTTCCCCCCATTATTGTATGGGCGCGGGCTTCATCATTGATTTACGCATTACTTAGCTACATTTCTTGGAAGATTTAAATCTTTAAAGTTATGTGTTTAGAGAACATGCACTTTTGTTTGGCAAATCATGCAAATGTGAGGTGATCCTCTTGGTATTCATAAATTTAAGTCGGCAAAAAGTGCAGCAAAAAATGCAAAATACATCTTGATACTTTCTGTAGGGTGGCTACTGTACATTTGACTTGCTTGTTTGGGCTTTTCTCTGTGTGTAAATATGATTTACTTGTTTGGTGCTGATTGTTTGCTGTGTATATATATATATATATATATATTGTTATAGCTCGACATTGCTGTTCTTCAATATCGAAATGAAAAGCTAATACAGAAGTTGGAGACACAGAAAGTTGAGTATTTGGCTCTCGAGAATAAATTCTCTCAGCTGAAGGAGAAACATCAACCATATGATTCCACATTAACAGTTGTCAAAAAGTCTTGGGAAAAGGTAGGACTCTTGTTTTTTGGTTGTTTTGCTGCTGCTGTGTTTAACTTGTGTAACTTTATGTGGTTTCTTTCTTTATGTACACAGTATCATGTAATCCTTGATGGGATGTTAATTCTATGTTTTGACAATAGCTTGCTCATGACTTGGAATCGTGTTCAATCCGTACAAGAGAGACAAGCTGCAAGCAGGATGTTGATTGTCAGTCTATCATGGGGGGTGAGGATTATTTTGACACAGTTCATGTTATTTTGTGGTTTAGGGTTTTGAATGATTTAGGTTAAATGAGCATGGCATGATTGAACTGGTTATTGATACTTGATAGGCAAAATACTCGTTTTACATTCAAAAGGAATTGCAATAATGAAAATTTTCATTTTTTAAATGTTATTTTCTGAGTATTTTGCACTATGTAAATGCAGCTTTTGATTTGTGTCTGCTGCTACATTCTGATTAATTTGGATCCCTTTTCTCTAACATAGTATATGTATGCTTATTAGTTATATCTTGTTACTATATTTCTTTGCTTTCAATTTTGTATTTCAGACATAGTGATTATAAAAGATAAAAGATATAAATCCTACCCCGTGAGCTTGTAGATGCATATGGGATATGATTGTCGAAGTGGGCTTATAGATAATGAAGTCTTGTATGCTTTTCAGATGGAGTGCAGTCTACTTTTCATGAGGAATTTCTCAGTCGACTTGCAGAAACAGGTGCAACTGAAAGTTCATCAATGCGTAACTCCTTTAATCAGATGGAAGGTGACGGAGAAACAGCCTATGAAAATACTATGAACAGCTTAAATAATTTCGTAGCTGCAATTGATAATCTGTGGTGTCAAAAGGATGGATTACATGCCGCAGTGTTGAAAAAGGTTCCAGGAGATGAAGACCTACGTAAGTAATAAATTTACATGATACTTTATTCCAAGGCTTTGTATTATGTGTTATCTCTCATTTTTCGGTGTATGTTACTTCTTTTGCTAGGTGCTTGCCGGCGAAATACAGAAAGCATTCTTGAAGCTAGGACTTGGAGGTCGGCATTTATTGCTGCTTTTCTGAAGCATAAATCACTTTCAAGGGAACTGCAGAGCCATCAAGATATTGATGCAAAGAATAAAGCTAAGCTTAGACGTTTAAGAGGTAGCTTGCTTTCAAAATGATCAATTATTTGTCTTTTGGGAGGTGTAATGCGAAGGTTGGTGTTAATGTTTTCAGTTTCCCTCTTGGAAAAAGGAAAAGGAAGGAAACTTTTGTTGCGCATTTCATCTGCTCATTTTTATCATTTGGTATCAGTAAAGTAGTAACTTAATTAAGTTCTAGTTTCGGATATTGGTTTCTTTGGCTTGGATATCCATCCACGAGGGGTGCTATTCTGATAGTCTTAATACAATAAAAGCTATAATCTCAACTTTTAGGAATTCATGTTATTGAATGACACTTAATTAATTAGAACAAAAGCTAATGTTAAGGACCCTTATTTTATTTGGTCATTCTTGGTCAATTGACACTTGGGGTAAAGTTGAGGGGGCTACGATTTAAAACCACCTCAAATAAAAAGTGAACTTTCTTTAGATTGTCAGAATTTTTGTATGGAGGGTGATTGAATGTTCCACAAAGTTAAGTGTTGCTTTCGTTGGTTTTATGAAGGAGAGTTGCAAAGTACAATAGCTGAATTAGAAGAGAACAGTTGCAAACTGGCAACTCTCAAAGCACAGAGAGATGCTGCAAAAGGGGCAGGCTTCCCTATCTTAAATTTAGGGAGCAAGCATGTTAGTGGTGATAAAATCAGAGATAAAGTGAAAGATTTACAAGATATGGAGTCTGCTCTCAAAGAGCTAATGGTAGTATATTGGCCTCTCTCTTTTAATCACTCACCTCTCAGAACTACTTTTATTTGAAGAGGTAATCAGTGGTAACTGACTAGATCTCTGCAGGATCAAGCTTCTTGTCGGCTTATGGAAATAAAAGGTCTTCATGAGGAGAGGATAAGAATATTGCAGAAGTTATCTAGTATGCAGGTCAGTTTAAGCTATAGTTGGGTATTTTTTTTAGATGTAATTCTAACTAAAAGATTATTTGCTTGAATGCAAGCTCTTTTTACAAATGGGGTTTTACTTGACAGAATAAATTGAAGAATGTGGCGTGTATTTCCTCTTCCCAAGCCTACCTCTTGGTGAGAGATCAAATTGAAAAGTCAAAATCTGAAGTCATTAAGTATCAAGCCTTATACGAGAAACTACAGGTTGTACCTGGTCGGTAGTTTATTTATGCCTTTTTCTATCATTTGGTTCCTAAGGTTTCATTTTGATGCTGACAATAACGTTATCCTTGGAGATTGTAGGCTGAGAAGGATAGTCTTGTCTGGAGGGAAAGGGAACTAAATGTTAAAAGTGATGTAATTGATGTTCTTCGAAGATCTTCTGCAATTGTTGATTCAAAATCAACAGATCTCAGGATAGAAATACAAAAACAGATTGATGAAAGAAAAATGATTGAAACAAAGCTGGATCAGGCTTCAAGAGAACCTGGTTAGAAGAAACCTATCGTTAGTTTTCTTTAGTTTTGACATATTGGCTTCACTTGTTTTATGCATCAATTGTGGAAATATGCTGAATTTCAGGAAGACAAGAAATTATAGCAGAATTTAAGGCCTTGGTGTCTTCATTTCCTGAGGAAATGGAAACCATGCAAGGTCAACTACGTAAATATAAGGAGACTGCTGCAAACGTTCATTCTTTGCGGGCTGATGTGCAGTCTCTTTCTAGCATTCTTGACAGGAAGGTGAGTATGAGCTAGATTTTTGTGGTGAAGGTACAAATTGTTATTGCAGGGTTTATGTTACCTTTTCTTTTTTGTGAAACAGGTGAAAGAGAGTGAAACTTTATCTGCTAGATCGACAGATCAGATTGCTGAGATACAGAAATTGCAAATCATGGTATGTGCTTATGTAATTCTTTTCTCAAGTTTTATTTTAAAAAGTTGCTGCGTAGTTTCTAGTTAAGAGTTGTTGAGCACTATGTAATTTTAATTCTTGTTAAGTATATTTTGACTACTTTGTATCGAGTCTATCCATGTAATCATGCACAACAGAGATCAGAGTTGTTAACGAGTGGAGGAAACACACATGCCAAGTTTGATTTGTTGGTTGGGTTTATTATTTTAGACAATTGTTGTTAAGTTTGATCCTTTCTTGGCGGATGCTCCTGTTACACAGTTTTTGAAGGATGAGAAACAACTATATGGTATCTACATTGAGAATTGATGTAATATGTACGTCATTAGTCTGATCTTTTGCTTTGTAGGAACTACCCATAATAACAAACTTGCAAACTGAATTTGTCATAAAGAGATTCATTGTCTCTGACCTGCTTCACCTTAATTGTTATTTGAACAAGTAATAGTTATGTCTTGGTATTGAATCTTGACAGCAGCAAAGAGAGGTTATCAAATCTTGATCGCACTTTTTGAAGTTGATTTTGATTGATTGATATAGCTGCATTAGATTTTCCTTTTCTCCCACTAATTGTTACTTTCCTTGCAGGTCCAAGATTTAAAAGAGAGTGATTCGGAGTTGCAGCTTATCCTTGACATGTTTAGACGTGAATCCACTGATTCAAGGTTAGAACAGTTCTACTGGATTTTTTTTCCTCCACATAACTTTGACCTTCACAAATTATTGTCGGCTACAGCTTACAGTTACAGACTGGTTTCATGCTTCTATTTATTAATAATTTAATAATCTTAGTGGCTTCAGAGAATTGTTATTCATCTTTTGATACAGTGTTTATTTATTTTTGTAGTGTTTTCATGTCGATAATGATACCAAGTTTTGCTTATGTTTTTAGCAATAGCTAATTGCAATTGAATTTGTAAAAGCTTATATTCTTCCTTTTATATCTCTCATGCAGAGATGTCCTGGAAGCTAGGGATTTGGAATACAAGGCATGGGCTTATGTTCAAAGTTTAAAGTCCTCCCTTGATGAGCACAACTTGGAATTACGAGTCAAAACAGCAAATGAAGCCGAGGCCAGATCTCAACAAAGACTAGCTGCTGCAGAAGCTGAGATTGCTGATCTAAGACAGAAGTTGGAAGCTTCCAAAAGGTTTTTATGTTTTAATTTAGTTTTGAAAAGCATTATTAGAACAGTTGATTCTGATCTGCTTCTAACCTCTCATTTAGCCTGTATTTTTCCTAAAAGGCGCATCATCCTTCAAGAAGGTTACAACTGTTTAGAATCTTTCAAGGTCAAAATAACGTAATACTGAATGATTTTGAGCGTAGAGTGGCTACCTTTTTGCTTCGTTCACTATCCTATTGCTGAAAAGCTTTGACCGTAATGTTTTGCTGTTGGAATCTTACTCGGTGATTCCATCATGCTTTTCCATACTTCCTAGGTGGATATATAATGCGTCTGTTTCATGTCTAGTGTGGCATGTTTTAGCATGAGAGAAATTCTATTACGTGATCTGAAGCTCTTCCATGTTGAAGCTTTGTTGTATGTGTTAATTGGGCCTACTGTTATCCCATTTTATTGCAAAAGCTTTACACCTTTTTATTTTTTCCTTTTCATGTCAGGCATCTTTTGAAACTTGCCGATATGTTAAAATCCAAAAATGAAGAAAACGAAGCGTACTTGTCTGAAATTGAGGTGTGTTTCCTGTTCATTTAATGTGGATTGGTATCTCCCCCTTGTATGGCGTGAAAACACGAGTTTATCTTTGCAGACAATTGGACAAGCATATGATGACATGCAAACTCAAAATCAACATCTGTTGCAGCAGATTACTGAGAGAGATGACTATAACATTAAGGTGAAGGATCTATTAAATTGTAGTGAGGAATCTATATATGAAGTATTCCAGTTATGTCTCAAATATTTGCGACCTTTTTCTTACCCAAAAAACATCCGTGACCTTTTGGCTTGTGAATATGGGAGTCGTGTTAGTTTCGTTGTCAACTTTGCTTTTCTTTTCTTTTTTTTCTGTAGGTGTTTATTTTTTCGTTGCTTAGGTTCGAACTGCATTTCTTTGAAAAGATAATTATTTCTTTTTTCAGTTGGTTTAGGATGCATGGATGCTTTTTTAAGTATATAATTTTTTCGTGGATGACATGCCACTTACCATTATCGTTCTCATGTGGAGTCATATGTTCCTATGTTGTTTGTTGGTTATTTATGTGCTTCTGAACATTTGACCACAAAATTAATCATTGTTTTTTTCCTCGTTTCATTACAGCTTGTTTTAGAGGGTTTAAGGGCAAAACAGGTGCATGATGCTTTACTTATGGACAAAAGAACGTTGGAGAGGGAGATTCAACAAGCCAATCTATCTGTTAATTTTTATGACATGAAAGCTGCAAGAATTGAAGATCAGGTATATTGTGTTCCATAACAAATGTGAATCAGCTACCCTCCCTCAGTATATGAAGCTACTGATACTCTTATGCGATGCAGTTGAAAATTTGTTCAGATCAGATTCAGAAACTTGTAGAAGATAAGTTCCAAAGTTCTATGACCATGGATACTACTCAAAAGAGATTGTTAGACGTCAAAAAATCATCTGAGCAAGCTCGGGGGTCACTGGAGGAATCACAATCTAAAGTTGAATATAGTCGAGCGGCACTGTTGGAGCTTCAGATAGAAGTGGAGAAAGAAAGGTATCGAAGTATTTTGCTCATTCCAACTTGTTTCACACTGCTTGCTCCTTTTTATTTCTCTTTTGTTACTGTTACTCATTTATTTTTGCATTTTATTAGGTTTGCAAAGAGAAGAATTGAGGAAGAGCTGGAAGTTTTGAGGAGAAAGGCTTCACGACTTCGAGCCCAGACCGAAGGCTCATCAATTATCGAAAAGCTTCAACAGGAACTTGGTGAATATCGAGAGATACTCAAGTGCAGTATCTGTCTTGACAGGACAAAACAGGTATGTTCAATTGACCAGTAGAGATCATGGTTTTAACTTTCTAACCTATTTTGATGAATGCATAGACCATTCTTTTTCTGCTGCGTCATATCCAATGTCCCTTTAGCATTCTTTGGTGAAATCAAATATGTTGTTTTGCTCATTTATACTTGGCTTCGATTATATAGATATAATGGTGTAACAGATATATCCTTATGCAGGTTGTCATTACAAAATGCTATCACTTGTTCTGCAATCCCTGTGTGCAACAAATTATTGAAACTCGTCACCGGAAGTGTCCAACATGTTCCACAACTTTTGGGCCTAATGATGTAAAATCTGTATACATCTGACATGTGACCGAGGAAAAGTTCCTTCCTTGCTGGTTAATGAGATGAACATCAATGCCTTTAGCTGCATGTGATCCCGGTCCCAAGATTTGATAATGTGTTGTTATCTAGTGAACTGTAGAGAAAATATAAACTGGCAATGATTAGTCAGCCTTCCTGTCCCAATCCCTCGTCCGCCAGTGCCAATCATCTGAGTTTTTGCTGGTACTGGTTCTAGGTTGTTGATTTCACCAATTTCTTTACTGTAATTATAATGTTCTTTTTTTTCTTTTTGTCCCCCTCGTAACTCTTTTTTTTTTTTCTTCTTTTTGGCTCCCTCATAACATTTTTTTTTTTGGTCCCTTCGTTAACATTTTTTTGGCCCCCTCGTAATTGCTTGGAGCCGCTGGAATCTTTATTCTATGATATGCAGGTTGATTGGAATCCATCCATCCAATGTCACCCCCGAGGAAGACATTGCTTCGTCGTCATAAATGAATTGGTTAGCATGAGGGTAAGCTTAAAATTACCTTAGTCCCACTAAATACTGAAGACTGATAAAGGCTTTGTTTTGGCAGTGGCTACAGCATAAGATAAATGTTTGCTGCACGTGTCAGTGGAATTAACTAATTTTCATTTCCTTGTATTCTTATGGAAGCAGTTGTTTACAGAAGTGGTTGTGTCCAGGTTTTCGAGGGTAGTCGACATTTCCCAGGGATGTAGGTTCTTGTTGAAATTTATTTTTATTTTTTTTCTTCTCTAATTCCTTGATCATCACTAAATAAAAACGTCAGTGCAGAGTCTGTCATGTTAGATTTTAGTGGCAAAAGGGGTCTATCATTTACAGGTTCTCTTTTTAGGAGTTCTCTCTGTGTCCCGCCTCATGCCATTTCAGGTGACGCGGACTCTTTAGCAGGATAGGTGTTGGTAGGACCGTGCATTTCTCTTCCTATGAAACAGGATTTGGAGAAAATTAGGAAGTTCACTTTGAATTTTATGTTTATTTTATTATTATTATTATTTTGTGAAAGTACCCTCTATTCGCTATAAATTTGTTTCTCATAATTCCATCGGAAGAAAATTGGGACGCGTTTATGTTCCTATGATTCCACCAATTTATATAGCAATTTATTTAATGTCTAGTAGAATAAAAAAAAATATTTATGTAAGGTGACTTGCATGATTATATTTGTACCATATTCTGTCACTAGTTCGTGGCAGAAATCTTAACATCTCGTATGTGAGTCCATTTATGGTTCTGTATCTTGATACAGGCTGAATATCTTTGGTGTTCGGCCCATAAAACTAAACACAAATTCGGCACAACATAATTATCATGCTACGCCCAATCTAAGGCCCATAATGGGTTTAGGCCCAACGTGAACTGGGGTCGACATTAGCCGAGTAATGGGAAAGAAAAATTAAAATCTGATGCTCGCAATTCATAGACAATCGAATAAAACGAAAATACAAGAACCCAATTGAGGTAAGAAAATCAAAATGCAAAGAGAAAATCAAGCGTCGGACTTACTGATCTAAACACATTTCACTTAAATTACCAAAAAGAAAAGGGAAAAACAAAAAACTTGAAACCAATTAATCAGAGTGGATTGCAATATTTCAGACACTGATGTAAAGTTCCCAACTTTGAACTTCGGAAGTCCCGGCCGACAAACTGTGAGAACTTGAATGAAATCTGCCAAAAACGCCGAAGGCGTCCTTGGGGTGATCTTGTAGTTCCTACGGGGTGGAGACGATGGGGTCGGTCCATAGATTTTCCTTCCTTTTGCCGCATTTCGCTCAAGGGGTTGAAGGGAGATAGTGCATCAAGTTGTTCGCAAGGGCCAACTTGATCCTTTACTGAGACAAAAACAAATGTGAATTCGAATTTATAGCGGGAAAGGGGGACAAGAAGGAAAAAATCTACAACCCCATTTTCCAAGAAAGTTTTTAAGGGCTCGTTTGGTACGATAATTCAATTAGGGTGATTCTACTCATGATTCTGAAATCAGAACCATAATTCATGATTTTTGGTTCAAATCATGATTCTGAAACTATGATTCAGAATAAGAGATTTGAATCACCTTGAATCAAGAGGGAGGGTGGTTTTAGAATTATGATTTGTGCTAGTTTAAAACATTACATCAAATTTCAAATCATGATTTAGAATCATCCAAACCAAAAACTGATTCTGAATCATGATTCAGAATCACTATAAACAAATACGATTCTGGATCCGTCTTTCCAAACACACCCTCAATTTCAAAGCAAACAAGCAAGAAAGGAAGCAAAGAAAGGAAAAGAAAGATCTAGGCTATGTTCATTTTACCAATTCGAGTTTAAATTTTAAATTTTGCTACAGGAAAAAGCTTTTAGAAACAATCACATCTAACTTTTTTACTACAATAAAAAATTTTCACATAAAATTACATATCAACTCAAATTAAAAATTCAAATTAGTAAATTAAACAGGCCTAGTGAGAGAATATTATTACCAACCGAGTAAGCAAAAAGAAAGCTGATCACGGGGATGGGAGTGGAGCAATAGATCATCATTATCCACTTTGCTTTATTTTTTTAATTATTATTTTTTTGTTAGCTCATATAAGCCCATTCTTATTTCCAATGGGCCATAAAAGCATGAGAATAGGCCCATAACTCTAAAAATAGGATAGCCCAACATGAGGCACGCGATAGGGGCTGTTCCAAGGAGTCTATTCCTTTCCTAGCGGACTAAAGAGCCCATAAGTCTAAAAATAAAAATTAGGCCCACGCCGGCTAGGTTAGTCCGTTCACAGTGGGCCTAGAAATCGTGGCCCTATTATCATATATACAACTAACCCACCCAGTCTCACTTCCCGGTCTCAAAACAAGACCTAGGGAAGAGGGCCAGCCTGGGCTAACCTTAAAGCTCTTTAAGACTGGTCCGAAATTTTATAACGCATTTTTAAATTTTTTTTTAAAAAAAGGTGTTGGAATCAAATCCAAAACGATCCTAATAAACTTTCAGGCTTGAAACCCCAGCCTGCCCCAAATGTTAGAGTCGGACCGGATCCAAGTTAACAGTGACAAGTCTCGAGTCAGCTCATTTGACACGATCTAAACTTACAACTTGGTCGGGTCCACTAACCTATGAGTGTAATGTGTGCATATGATCAATAAGATAAAACTATTGGAAAACTACAAAATAGTAAGAAATAAGATTTGTATTCTTTTTTAGGAGGAAAGAAAACTAATTAATAAGTTCAAATTTCAATACGTTGAGGCAGTTGCCTTTATCCTTAAGTCGGCATTGGTTTTGTTGAAGTAATATTATGCACAATTCATATACACTTGAGCACACTGTCAGAATCACCTGACCTCGCAATAAAAATCTGCAAGTACAATAAAGCAGATTACTAAGGGGTGAGAAGGGCCAGAAGAGACTAGACAACCAATTTCTGAACGAAAGGGGATATGCAAACTGCTATTTCAACACTTAATTACATATGGCAAGAACAAAGCAAATCCTCGTCTTAACCCAGGATTTCCTCAGGCTTAGTGGCTGGAGCTTCCCAGATCAAAATCCATGGTGTAGTCGTATTCAATTGTTGGAATCACAGATGCAACAAATTTCAAGAATAAGAAAAGATACCTACACAAATAAGATAGAAAAGTAATTAAACAAACAACTTTTCTCAACAATAATAATAACCTGAACACGTGTTAGTAGTACCAAATGATGCCTGACTATCGATAAACATTCAACGAGAGAAAATTTGTTTATATTCACCTTTACATCTAATTGGGAATCGCAGATGTTACTTTCTTTTCCTAAATCAAAAGGATTGTTGTGGACGTACAGATAAGACTTTAATATTGGGGTCTCTTTCTTTTTTTTTTCCCCTTTTTTTTTTTGAATGGTTAATTAACCTGCTATAAAGTGTCTTGTCCTTTTATAATTTTTCCAGTTTTCACGCAACCCTGAATCCAACATGCTACCAGAGTGCAATTAGTTATAACTGACAGGGTATTGGACTCAACTCTTAATAGTATCTAGGAGTGAAAAATAAACCACCAAGGATTTTGGTGGGCGGAGTTGCTACAGCAGAATGAGAGTTGAGAGAGAAAATTACTTGTCAACTTCTGGTTCAACTCCACGTGACATTAGTACGTCAATGATTTTTTTCATCACCGCTCCATGTCGACAAGGATGTACAGATGCATGTTTCCCGGGCAAGTGAGGATGGTCCTCAATAGTTACCTGTATCCATACAAGTAGTCATTAAATTAATTGCAGGAAAAAAAAATAGTGCATGTGCCAAGCAGATGTAAAGAGGAACCTAAGAATCAACTCACGGTTTTCCGCGCATGATCTTGGCTAACATCTTCAAGAACAAGCTCTGGTTGTAGAAGCATCCTCGACTAAGAGAATAACAAAGGAATGTAATCAGTTCAGCAAGAATATTAGTTAAGAATGAAAGCAAAATAACATAACAGTATACTTTCATTGAATCATTATGCAGATTCAGTCAGCTACTGCAAAGCATAATGGATACAAGACATATCCCAAAAAAAAAAAAACACAAGGAAACAATCAAGTAAAAACTTAAATAACTTCAAAGCAAACAACTCAAGAGGACTAAATATTCACTGCACTTTAGCAGAAGCTAGCCTCTTTTACAGCACAAGTTACTTTCTCTTTCTGTTTACTCTTTTGCAAAGAATGGACAGGAAAAGAAAATTTTATGTCCGAGTTAGGTACTCTAGTAGTGACAAGCAATGAGCTTGGAGAGAGAATCACACTCCCCAAGAAAGATAATCGAAGTTGGAAAATTGGAGCTAATGTTTGCTTCACTAGAAGAACTTTGCAAGATTTCCAAACAATTTAACTTTCCCTACGAGCGTAAATCCTCTTATTAATTCAAACTCTCAAGCCTGCTCTTTTATTGGTATTAGCCGAAACAAACTCAAGCTTCTTATGCATGGCTTCTTCAATTATTTTCATTAGTATTTAGTAAAACAAGAGAATATAGAAAAGAATGAAACTCCTTGAAGCAGTAAAACATGAACTTAATAATCATTGGAAATTTGGAATTTGAACATAGCCACAAAACAAACAGCAGAACGAACCTCATCATAACCAGTAAGCCACACTCGAGGAGTTTGATAATATTTATCATACCTACATATAGAACGAGGCAAGAAAAATATTAGGGCTCCAGTCAAATAGAGTATTTCAATCCAAAAAAAGAAAGCAATGCTCTAATGTTTTTGACAAATGTACCTAGCAAGAAATCAACAACAAATCTTCTCAATTAGAATGTAAATCTGTTTTTCAAATTACTTAGGCTTCAAACAATAATGCATAAGACTTCAAGATTTCTATTTCTAAACAAATAAAAGAAATAAACTACGCAGATTCTTACGTGATGCTGACATCATAGGTTCGGGTGCGTAAAATGTTATCATCCTCAGGTTCCTGAGCCACAAGATACGTAGACTGCAGTGTTGCCTGCAAATTAGAAGTTAAAATATAACAATTTCATGCTTTTATCTGCATACATGACTGCTAAATTCGTGAAGCTAGCATTGCATCTATGGGCCCATAGACAAGCATTATATAAAGGAAATTTTAAGAAGCTCTGAATGGAAGCATAGACATTGTTCAATGGTTTTATTATATAAACAATGCCTGCATAATTTTTGGAGGTGCTAAATTCAACATAAATAAATCTTTCAGATGTGGTATTATTTTATTGTTCACCTTTCTTGCAATTAAGCATAAAGTTTTTAATTCGCCAAAATAGTGTCAGCATTATAAACACCAACACACCCTCCTATCTAATACTTTATCCACCTTACTTGCGATTAAGCATAAAGTTTTTACTTAGCTAAAATAGTTTCAGCATTATAAACACCAACACCCCCCTCCTATCTTATACTTTATAAAAATAACTGAACCACGACCAAATTGTTCACTTACTCAACAATAGTAAATATTAATAGTCAAAAACAACTAATGACTGTACACCAGACATAAAAGACAAACATCACCTAGACATCTCTTCGTCAGAAAATATAGATGTAAAAATTACCATCAGACACTTACAGGATCAGTTTCGATAATGTTATCAGATTCTTCAAAATCAGCCATGTCAGGAATATCTTCTTCATCTTCCCCACCAAAATATGAGGGGGTCAACTTGACAGTGTTATTCTTGCTGATTTCCAAATTTTCCATGGAGGGCAAGTTTTCTTCCTCGGTACTTTTACCCTCTAAAAGTAAGAGAGAGTGTAAGTAAATATCTCACGTAAAATATTATCAGCAACATTTCTAATCTTAACTTACCCTTTGGCTTCCCGTGGGTTGCCAACCAGCCATCATTATCTTCATTATCAAGTAGAACTTCCCCACCTGCAGCTTCGTACTCTTCTTCCACAGATGCTGCTCTCCGCAGGCAAGGGACTGAACAGAAAGTGAATAGATTTTCATTAGCTTTACTTGGATTCAAAGAGGCTACTCATATATACAGAACTTTGGTGCAATTGCCACGGAACTCAAAAGCAAAGGAAGAAATTGCGCTTGTGTTAAACAAACAAATTCCACTAACAAAAATGCCTATGTAATAAATCTATCCTATGATGAGTTTAGCCAATCAAAAGGTCTAAAACTTTATAAAAATTATACTACTATTATTGTAAAGGTATTAGCCCATGAATAGAAAGCTCAAAAACTTATTACAGTCACTACAAGGGGAGAGTTTTACATGGTAACATTTCATTCATATGCCAGGGGCATAAAATCACCCAACGTTGAGAGAAATAAAAAAAGAAAAGAAAACACGAAAAAATATATCAGTAACCATATCAGATATAACAAATCATAATCTCAACGTCACTCTATAAAGCATGCAAAAAAGATGCGCATTACAAGTTGATACAGAGTATTTTTTTATTTTTATTTTTTTTGGGGGGGGGGGGGCAGAAATGATTTCACCATACCATTTCTAGTAATGAGGTACTGCTTTTCAGGAGGTAAGTATGGTTTCCTCTTGCTTGGCTCACCTGACTCCCTAACAGGAGAAAATGCAACATAAAAAAGATAAGAGAATAGTACCTTCAGACCAATTTGAAATCCAGCATAGTTAAGCAAGTTATCAAAAAGGCAACTTTAATCGATGAACCTATCAAATTGCAAAACAAGGGGAGGAAAATAAAAAATTTGACTTCTATTCTAATTTATAAAAGATGAAGGAAAATAAAAAATTTGCTTCATCAAATCAGTACAAAAAAACATATGTAGCTTTCAATCAGAACTCGTCAAAGTACTTAGCGCAGCAAAATTTTTCATATATGTTTTAAACAAATCCAATCATGCTTCACCAAATGAGAACCATTTCATATTTCAAGCCTACTACGATTAAAATGGCAAGCCTATTACGATTTCAATTTCCCTAACCCAAAAGCCAAATAGTTATGAGCTTGCCATACAAAGCCTAATTTGATTTCTATTTCCCCTGAAAAACGATAACACAATTTGACAGAATTTCAGACCCCGTTTCATTATCTTCAGCCATGCCAAATTGGTCAGCTGCTTATCTTCTTAACGAAAATTAGTAAATTCACAATCAAATTTGTCGTAATCGCTGATCGATTAGAGCACAAACTCGAGAAATTATCAAATTCCCTAATTGAGAGCTTGTATTGTCTATTGTATCATACGACTTTAGAAACAAACGCTGTAAAACTAATCTAAAATCACATCGGACCAAGATGAACTGAAAATTGGCATAACAAAAACTGGTAAAATCCCTAATAATCACAAAAAACTGATCATAGAGATAGAACAAATTCGCGAAAATCAGGAAAACAAAAAAGGGAAAAAAATTGTTGGGATATAATTACCAAGACCAGGTAGGGCATTTGGAGACGAGATTGTCACCGGCGATGATGAACTCGCTGACGCTGAGAACGCCTTTCTCTTTGAAGGCGGAGACCGTCCTTGGTCCGGTGATTCTCTCGACGGTTCCTTTGAAGGCTTCGTGAATCTTTTGCGACAGAACCATCTCTTTCTCTCTCTAGGCGATTCAACTGCTTTGCGTAATGATCGAGCGAGCGGGAAAGAGACCGAGAAAAATTCGATGAAAGCGAGGTCGCGCACTAAAGGATGTCGAAGAGAGAGAGGGGAACAACTTGTAAAGACGACGATTAGAGTTTTCAATTTGAATTAAAATGTGTCATTTTATGAGAGTTTTTTATTGTAGCAGAAAAAATTAAATATAATATTTTTTAAGAGCTTTTTACTGTAAAAATTTAAAATTAAAAACTCAAATCGGTGAAATGAATGAGACCGAAGTACAGACGTCCTGTGTCCTACGAGCTAATTCAGGCCGCCGGGTCCAAACCGACAGTTTAAATGAAAGTTTCGGGTCAGACCAATCCAATCTTAGAAAGGAGACAATCAATCTAGTTTGGAGAGTCCTAAAACCCAATGACAGGTCTAGGGCCGGCCGGCCTTCAATTTTATAAAGAAATTTTAATTTTTTAAAGCAAAGGGTGTTAAGGCCTGATCGGGTGGCCTGAATAAGCTTTGAGCTTGAAATCTCAGTTCGAACTAAGAGTGAGGAGTCTCATACTGATCTGTTTGATTATGTTTCTTATATTCGTCCCTTATTTTAAATTATAATTTATAGTTCTGTACAATATTTTTTTTCATAAAAAATATACGTAAAATAAAAATAATTCTAAATCATAATTCTGAATACATAAACTAAACGTCCTCTTATAATTTTAAGAGACCACGTTCAAATTTAATATTATCTTTAGTCGAAATACATTTGATTTTTTTCTTTGAGAATTAAAAATTGTTATAATTTAAAGCAACGAGTACAATATTAATTCCTATTAGTGATGGAGATTCTTTTAGTCAAATGAGCTCATCATCTATTAAAATAAGTTAAAAAGATAAACTGTTTTATTTGCCTCTTAAAAAAATAGTTTATCTTTTCTCTTGAAAAAATAGATAATAAGTTAGATACAAATAATAAAACACCAAATTGGTTACAACTAAAATTATTTGCTTTCAAAACTTGAATCATTGTGAACGTATTGAATATCATGGTTTATGATTTACTACAGTATTTTCTCTCATAAAAAATACACGTAAATTAAAAATAATTCTAATCACATAATTTTAATTTATAAACCAAACGTTTCTTAAACTTAAAAATAAGGATTCTGGTTTCAACCTCACAGTCAGCAAAAGCACCATCTAACTTTTAATCCAAAGCAACCATAATAAATTAAGTAGAATATCTTATAACAGCTTCAACTTCTGTTGCCTGTTGTGAGACGGAACATCTACATTGAGCTTGCAGCGATTCCAATCTAAAAGAATCCATTTAGTTTAGATCCACCCTTCTAATAGCATGATTGGGCTTAATAATCATAGTTTTCTATAGGGCCGTAACATATCCTCAATGACCACTCGACAACGTAAAATGAAAAACGGATTATGAAATTTTACTGCAATTTATATTCACCTCCGCTATTAAAAAAGTACAATGCTGTCAAAAAGTTCTAAACTCGTATAGTTGAAGTATTTAAGGATCGAAATATATCAAAATTTTATATTATTATTTATATTTAACATTTTAAAATTAATATATAATTTTTAAAAATTAATTCAACAAGCAATATTATTTTTTAATAAATATTCTATTTTTTATAATTTTATAATTTTTTCCCTTTTAAAAATAAAATAAAATAATAAAATTTTACCACACAATCATTATATATCTTATCATTATTTTGCCACATTGTTGTGCACTGTTTACCGTGCGCCACAGGTGTCACTACAGTTTCTAGTAAAAACTACTTTTACATCAGCCCTGCCATAAGTTGGTAAAAGCAAAATAGCGGCAAAAAAAATTAAATAATAAACAACCTATTTAAAATTATATTCTATTAATAGTTTTTTTTTTTTTTTCCTCATGCGATTCTACTGCACGTACTTCTTTAGTATGAATTATAATTAGAGCAATATTGAACTTGTTTTTTAGAATTTAACTTGAATATAATTTTTAAGTTGAATTTAAGTTATAATTTGAGTTAAACTTATAACTTAAATTTGTGTTTGGTTGTATACATTTGAGTTATGGTTTGAGATAAGAATTTTTTTGAGTTTGTGTTTGAGTGAGTCAAAACTTGAATTTGTATTTAGATAGTATTTTAATAAAAACTCAATGTTGATGAAAAATTTTAATAAGGTATATGGGTAAAGTTTTATTCGTCTTTTCGTTGTCAACACATATAAAAAAAATCATCTCAATCAGAATTAAAACGAAAAAGTTATAGCATTTTTAAGAATATAAATAATATTGTTCATTAATTTGAGTTCGAGTTTCTGAACTCGAGTTGAAGGGGAAACTTGAACTCAAATTTTAGTCCTAAACTCGAGTTTGAACTCGAGTTTAAACTTAAAAGAATATGAACTCGAATAAAGTTATAACTCGAGTTGCATTTTTTTGAGTTTTTCACTTAAAAGAACAAGCCCATTATTTTTGGGAAGTCCTTTTCTTTTTAGGGAGTTGAGAGTTTGTATTTTGGATATAATACTCACAAAGAAAAAACCAAGTCTAATTTACATATAAAAGTGATAGTCACGGATAAATAACTACAAATAAATGGTTTGGATTGTTTAAATATAACATTTAAGAATTTGTTAAGTTTTATCACATCTAAAAGTGGACAAAATTTCTAGCAAGCCTGGCACTTTGGTGCTGTATTTGGGCGCCGCGGCGCTGGACTGGACAAAATTTCCAACGAGGCTGGCGCTTTGGCACTGCATTTGGGCGCCGCGGCGCTGGACTGGCAGAGAGCATAGCGCCGCGGCGCTGAGTTTGGGCGCCGCGGTGCTCTGGCTTGCGTGGACGGTTTTTGGTTTTTCAGAAACTGGCACTGCAGCGTCCGAAACTGGCGCCGCAGCGCCGTGACGTTTAGATACGTTTTTTGAAACTTGAATTGACACCAATTCAAATGGGAAAGGTATCTTTTCAAGTTTGGTTGTGTCTGTACGTAATTGTGTGATAAAAAAACCATAAAAAGAACAAGAATTGCTGATAAATAAGTTAGAAATAATACTCTGAAATACTTCTCTCTTCTTGTTCAAAAATTTCCAGAAATTCAAAGAGTTTCTTGTGTTCTTAGTGTTATTGTCATTTTACTTGTGATTAACAACTTGAAGGCTTGTCATATCCTGCGAGCGATTTGTTGAGAACCCGAAGCAATCTCTAACGAGAGGGGGCAAATTACGCTTTAAGGAAAACTTACTTTCTATGTGTTTCAAGTCTCATTTCCCTCAAGATTTCCAACATAAATCATCTGTGGTGGTTCCATGGTAGCAAAGACGTATGCTTTAATTTTCTTTCATTTATAACTCAGATTTAAATTCTCACGTTCTCATAAAAAAGAATTCTGATGTTAAAAGTGGTTATACTCACCTATTCAACAGAGTATACGAGTTTAAAATTTTATCTTTTAGTCTTAATTAATATCTTTATCCTAAATAAATTTAAACCCTAAACCATTACACCGGTAGGAACAATTGATTTTTTCTATACCAATAATCCCTTTTTTAATTAGTACAAATAACTACACGTACTCAGACTATGCCTAATTTACCCTACATCTTCATGTCCTTGGAGACAATGAAAGTGTTCCAACTTCCAAGCCACTTTCTAAGGATGACCCAATTGTTTGGATTCTAGACTCGTCGATTGCCCACAACAGCCTTTACACAAAACGTACAAGGAGCAATTTGCACAATATCGGCCCAATCTGTCAAAAACTGCTGGTTTCTGCTGATACATATATATCATGATCATCGTACAATTTCACTGCATGGATTGACAAGCTACCACACATCTCAAAAACATTGGATCCTTCCACTTCTTTTGTTACTTTCTGTTCCTTTCTTTACCTTTGCGATTGGAGGAGTATATGCAAACTTTCAAATCAAACACGAATGTCATCCCCACTTTTGTACAGGTTGAATTATTTGTTTTTGAGTTCTACATCTTGGTAAATTTGAAAAGGGCTCTAATAACTTGAAAAGAGCTGAAAAGAAGATTTGTGGTTATTGTCTTTATATATTTGTTTGTTCTCAAACTTCTTTAGTGAAATAATTAACACCTAAATTCAAGCACATGTTCGATCTCTTTCATTCTAAGCTTACTTATGGTCAATTCCATTATATGTAAAAATAAATAAAATAGAATAATAAATTTCTCTTCTACTCCTCTATGTCTTGTTTCGTTAATTCTTTACTCTTATATATGGATGAGTTTTCAATAGTTATGTCTTTATCAATGGTCAACCATTAAATATAACAATTTGATGACACGGCATGATAAAAATACAATTTCATTAATTGCAATAAATTTTTTTTTTATCAACTACCCAATTTATTACAACCATAAGATCAATATCTTACGGTTAAAACAACGATACTCATCAATAAGTAAATATGAGAGTAACTATTAAAACCCCATATATATATATA